TCAACAGAAGTTAAAGAAGACAGTTCATATCATGAATTAAAATTATGTACACAGATTAATAAAGTTTATTGAGTTCTATCTGTTCTTGGATTTGTTCATATGTAATAGAACAAATGTTAATTGGAGTATGCATGACTGTTATATTACACATTTGGCCTGAGCCAAGCGACAATTTACAATTATGTGAATTAATTTTGAAATAAGGAAAGATAACAGATAAACAATGATGAAATATAATCTGAGCATCTGAAATAGTACTATTACTTGATCGATCTTTAAACTCTTTTTCCCTTATGAATAGCTATTGAACAAGATATAGTTACTAGTCATTTAATAGTAAATAGATTTAAACATTAATTGTTAATATAGTTAGAATGAGGTGATATAAGGGTATTCTTTTATATTTACAAGTTATTGAATTATTAATCAAGTGTAATTAGTATTGTCCAGATAAGTAATGAACTTTGAAAGCGTATTTAAATAAACCTTAGATACATATTTACAATTAGCATTTTCATTATCTTATTTCTTTTTATTACAAAGAAAGGAGTCTACTGTCTTTCTTTTGCCATTTTGAATAGAAGAATAGAAGAGACTTTAAATAATCTTGAAATATAATCTACTAGCACAAAGTGCCACATTTTGATCTATAAGTTCTTTAAACAAAACTGCCCTCTACTCTATTAAGTTATATATAAGGTATTGAACTAGTTAACAATCATAAATGGAGTTTGTAAGAGCTTTGGTACTAATTTTCATTTTATTATTTAGCATACAGATACATTCTTTAAAATTTTAAATAGATTAAGCACACTAATCTTTCTCTCTGTCTAAATTTTCTCAAATTAACATCCATTAGTTAATAAAAAAGAATGAGCCTAAATCCATATTCTCTATAGATATAAAAGAATTGCTTAAATTTTACTAAGCTTTTAAGGTAATAGTACAAATATTTTATTATAGATTTAAATGATATTGAAAAGAAAAACTATAACTAATTGATACAATCAAACTTTTTCTTTCTCTTTTTACCGTCATGTAACATTAAGTTGATAAGAAAGAAGTATTTTAATGAGGAAATCTTCTTTAGACAGCTATTGATTTTTCAAATATTATATATTGACTATTATATAGAATCAATAGTTTCTTTTACTTCTTAATTATATTCTAAACGTTATTAATTAAAATAATAACTAACAAACCTATGATAATTAGTTAATTATTAATATTTGTTATAATTTTAAAGTTATTACAATAAATGTTGATTATACATATTACATTTACTTAGGAATTTGATTTCGGTTAGTTAAAGCAGTCTGTATAAAATGATTTTATACTAGAAAATAAATACTAAAGCTAGGAATATAAATCCCTAATTCACATAGAAAGTTTACTGAGTTCATTCAAAAAATGAATTACAAAGAATAACGAAATCAAACACAGCCGTGGATAACAAACAGCCAAAGAGGAATTTGTCTCTTTGCCAAAAGCATATTCTTCACGTGAGCAATTATGGAATTTTGTTTTTAGACCGTAGTCATAAATCTTGCATAAGTCCTTACAACAACAGTTAAAAAATATTTCTGAGTAACCGTATGGTCCTGGACCTTTTGTTCTTGATTGTCGGCATAAATGAGAATGCTTACAACCCATCTTATAAGTAATAATTGCTGGCCTTGGATCATTGTGAAATGATTTTGTTTCAGATCTTTCCGAAAAACAATAATGATTCGTACGGCAAATTTTGGTATTTAAATAGCAATCTTCTGCAATGAAAAAATCATTTGTTTTAAAATTTAATCAAGGAAGAGAGAAAGAGTAGGATACTATATTTCTATAAGTAATCACATAGAATGATGAACTTTTCAGATTCGATGAAAATATATAGAAAGTGGACTTTTGATCAAGATAAAACAGATTAAGTACTATGGTAATTTTGTCAATTGATAATTAATTATCGTATTATATAATAATGATCTAAAAGTCTTGACTCTTCAGTATTATTTCTTGTTTAAGGAAATAAGTTAAAAGAACAGGAAGGAAGATAATATTTTAACTATTAAGTTTAATAAAAGTACTTTATATACATATCGACTTACTTATATTCTCGGCATGGTGACAACTATAACACTCCAAAGTGTCGACATTTCGAGTAAGAAAGAGAGGGAACAAAATCGAAGTGATCAGCTTCATATCGGAGGTTTAAGTGGCGCCTGTCAAGCACAAAAAGTGCTAACACTCGATTGATTATCGCAGCAGAAGAACGCCTGCTGGATGTTGGGTTAAATAATAGTAATCCATTGAATAATTTTCATCCTTAATTACAATAATCGATATGTAAGAAGAAACGTCGGGTTTCTATTAGATTCTTCTTAATTAGATAGTATTTAACTTCCTCTTAAGAATTTTAATTTCATTGAGTAGTAAGCCCTTTTTTTTCTGATTTTGCATTCACCTCAAAATTTTTATTTATTAATTTCTCTTTTACGTTTTCTTTATTTTAGGTCTCAAGTGAAATTAAATTAATCATAATGAAATGAACGAATATAAAAATGTTAAACCTTAATAATGTCTCTTATCGCTGTTATATTTATTTAATATGTATTTTTTTTTTAAAAAAAATAATTTTTATAATATTTAAAGTGTACTTTGATTTCTACAACAGTATATTAAAGGAATTCCTTATTTTTTTGCCTCTTCTTTTAATGATTAACTTTGAGAAATTTTAAAAGATTTACTATTAAATGGTAAAGTATGTTAGCTATTTAAAATCTAATCTGATAGGTGAAGGATATTCCTAAGAAAAGGAAAAACAACTTTTTCCTAAAGGAAAAGATCTTGTAACTATATACATAAAAAGAAGAAGAAAATACTATATAAATAAGTATCTAACGGTAGAGAATTTACAATAATTTATCTATAAATTGATAGTAGATTTACTGAATAGTAGCAACATTTGATACCGTTTGCTTTGCTGTAATCGAATAAGACTAATTAATTAAATCAAGGGTATGTCTTTACAGAATCTTGTAGAATCAGATTCCGATAATCAATAGGTTTAGAAATTATTTACTGGCTTCTCTATGCTTTAATACAATTATTAGTTCATACGCTTATATAAACAGTTATAGGCTGTAATGATAAAAATTCGAACATATTCATCTAACGTTAGTTACTCTTCACTGAATCCAATCGCTCCTCTGATAGATTTTTCCGAAATGATATTTATTACTTAATTGATTTTTTGTTTCGTGATAATGCCTAAAACCTCCACACTTGTAAAATGTGTACATTGTGTCTTAAATGTTTTGTGTTTCGTGTTGTTTTATTTGAATAATAAGAAAGAATGAACTTATTTTATACTATTTGTCAAGTATGATAAAAACCTATTTTTATTTGAGAGATGTACTTTATAAAAAGGAAAGAAAGTTTTTTCCTCTTTTCATTCATCTCTCTTCTCACCTCTTTCTTCAAGGGGTTTGTTATAATCGAAGAATGGCTTGCCAGCCTCCTTTATAATTTTGTGGCAGATATTACTGAAAGGAGTATGTCAGTGGCACACCAGATAAAACAGTAAAAATAAACTAAACACTTTTGTAACCATAAGATGAGCCTTATTTTATATATTAGTTCCAAATGATATGTCATCTTTAAAAGCCTTTCCTTTCTTCATATTTAATTAATTAGTAAATTTTACAAAACTGGCTAAATATAACGTAATATATGTATAATGTATAAATTTATACTTGTAGATATACATACACACATATTATAACTATGAATATCTTTGTATGATATATTTTATATAAAATTTTGCTTGTAGGGAAATATATTGACTCTAAACATCGCTTATACTGTGTCTAAAGTAAGAAGAGGAGGCAAAGCGGGTGGTAATTGTGCAATCAGTTAAAAACTTTGTACATTCAGATAAAGGTAAAGAAACATATTTTTGTTTCATAAGTTCTAAAAAAGGATATAAAGACTTTTTGTTAAGGGCAAATGACAAAGAAAGGTGCAGCCAGCTTATTACTTTTGTTAAAAACACTATGAATTAAACTGTGCAATTATTAGACTGAGGTGTTTTATGTACAGAAATCCAACTATAAAGAAGTGATAGATGAACAATGATAGACAAAGAAATTGTATAAGAAATTGTCACAGAAGGGTAGTCTTGCACTAAAATTAGTTTAACATTAAATATGACAATTAGTAACTTTCTAAAAGATCAAGAAAATTATGGAATGTAAACCAGGAGAAAGAAAAAAAACATAGCAACAGCAGGGGAAAAATAATCTCCATTATTACATATGAATTAACATCTAAATTAAGCTTACAAAGGAGCAACCTACTACTAATTTCACCAGAACATTAAAGAATATATCCAAGAGAGAAAAGCTAATAACTGGAAAATTCTGAAAACCCCTAAAAGCACATGGAAGAGACTAAATGTTTATTGCAGTTATTGTAATTTAAAACTTAGGTAATGACAAAAAAATTGTAACTTTGACAAGACAAATTGCCTGCCTCATTACCAATAAAACCTGAAGAGAAGAAAAATAAAATCTTTTGAAAGAGACCATTTCGATGAAGGAGCAGTTGAAGCATAATCTCGAAGACAAAAATGACTCAAGAAAAATGAAAAAAAGAGTTTACGAATTTTGTAGCTATTTTGAAAGTGTACTTGTTAGTCTTCTACTATGGAGACACTTTATAATTGGGCATATACAGTTCTTTTAACTTTTCAACCTTTAGAGAAAATATTTGAGAAATATTCTCTAAAGAAGAATTAAAACAACCGTTTTTGAAATAGCGATTACATTCAATCAATAATAAGGAATAGTCCTGAATGCCTTAACAATAGAAGAATGAATAGTAAATATTAAAAATCTCTGTAATATACATATACAGTATATATATATATATATATATATATATATATAGAGAGAGAGAGAGAGAGAGAGAGAGAGAGAGTGAGAAAGAAAGAGATGAATCCTATTCCAAAATATAACACTGTATTCAGTCATTTTGAATATGTAAGGCACTTTGAAAGATACAATGTTTGAAAATATCCTTCTTATTTGTAAAACTATTCAGCATTACTTGTTTCAAACAAAAAGTAACTAATTTTCAATTGTATTTCAGTTAAAAATGAATTTTCTTTTCGTAAGTCTTTTGAAGAGAGAAAAAATGCAAAGAAGATAGAAGGTTCTTTTTCAGACTAATTTTTACTGTCATAGAGTTAATGCCCGTAAGACGTCTTTATAACCATTCTTTTTTGCAATATCGAATGCAGTTTTACCATTTGATGTTTTAGAGTTGGCCATTCCCCCAGCACGAATTAAAAGTCTAACAATCGGAGCGTGACCTTCCGCTGCTGCCAGGTGCATAGCTGTCAGTCCTCCTATCTTATTAAAAGTTTGCTTGGCATTTACGTCACTTCCTGACTCCAGGAGTTTCCTTACTATCTGTCTATTTCCAAATTGAGATGCCAAATGTAATGCTTGAAGATGTTCAGATCCTTGGAAATATGCCAATCTTCCTACATCCGCTCCGTTCTCTAACAGGAAAATAACGCAATCTAGTTTGTTGTGTCTCACTGCCATGTGTAATGGGGTGAAACCAGCGCTATCTTGCACATTTAAGTCAAATCCCATTTCTAATAATACTTGAATGGTTTTAGTATGACCATTTTCTGCCGCTAGATGGAGTGCTGTTATACCAGTTCTACCGCTAGATGATTTCACAGCATTTAGGTCAGCACCGGCTGTTATGAGATATTTAATAATTGCATAATGTCCTGAATTAGATGCTTGATGTAGAGCTGTAATACCACTATTCCCGTCAACTTCACCAGCAATTTCAGTATCCACTCTTGCGGCTAACAAAGTCCTCACAACATCCACATGACCATTTTGCGAAGCGAAATGAAGGGGTGTAAAACCAACTCCATCTCTACAGCAGCCATTGGCACCATAACTTAAAAGAACTTTAACAGTGTTTACATGACCCATTGCTGATGCTAAATGTAAAGGAGTGATATTTTTCAAACTCCCTTGCTTTTTAAATGGTTCGATTGGACTTTTATAGTCAACTAAAAGTTTTACTATCTCTGTATGACCATGTTGAGCAGCCTGATGAATGGGTAAACAATCTTCATGACCATCAAAAGCAGCGGCAGAGGTAACAATTCCTCCTGAGCGTAAAAGACATAGAGCAATGTCATAATAATTGCAGCTAGCCGCCCAGTGCAAAGCAGTCCATCCATTTGATTTTTTAGCATTTACATTGCAGCCAGCATTTACTAGTTCTAGAACGGTATCTGTTTGTCCACTTTCCGCTGCTAAATGAAGCGCAGTTATACCCGAATCTGATTTCCACTTTTTACCAACATTCAAGTTTGCGTTTGCTTTGATTAAACTTCTGACTATATGAATATGGCCACCTTGAGCAGCCTGGTGAAGGGGAGTTACATGGAAATTATTATCAAAACTCGCTCTAACGTCGCTTTTTGCTTTATTTTCCAATAATAAATCAACCATTTTACGAAAACCTTGTTCGCAAGCAGTATGCAAAGGTAGCCATCCGTCGTTTCTAGGTTTATTCACATCAGCTCCATGGCGGAGTAATAAACTCGCCATATCCAAATCGTTATTTCTAACAGCCAAATAAATAGGTGTGAATCCACCTAAACCATCGTAAGTTTTAGTCGCATTAACATTTGCCTTAAATTCCAAAAGAACTGATGCAACCCCTAATGATTTATTCATTACCGCCAAATGGAGAGGTGTTACTTTGGTTAATGAATTAAATTGGGCTTCTTTATCGCAATTTGCATGATATTCTAATAAAATTTTGACAATCTCGATAATACCATGTTCAGCAGCTGTATGGAGAACGGTAAAACCATCTTTTAGTTCAATATTGGGATCAGCTCCAAGCTCCAATAAGGTTTTTACTACGTTAAACAAGTGATTTTCAACAGCCAAATACAATGGTGTTATTTCTCCTCCTTCCTCTGATTTTGCTTTTATATTTACATCGCATCCTGCATCACTTAAAAGTTTCACTATTTCTTCTTTGTTTATAAGGATAGCCATATGGAGAAGACTTACGCCAGATGAGCTTTGTGGTTCTTCTATACTACATTTAATCTTTAATAATTCTTCAACAACTTCTGTATTACCTTCTTTCACAGCTAAAAATAGCACAGTACTACCCGAAGAAGTTTTTGCATTAATATCACAGCCGAAATTCAATAAGTCCAAAAGTAGAGAGGCATGACCACAGACGGCAGCTAAATGAAGGACGCTTACATCGTAAACTTCCGCTATTTGACATGTTTTTGTTAGGTCACTGCCATTTCTTATAAGTAAATCAACAACCGCTTTTTCACCGGTTCTAACTGCCAAATGTATAGGTAAGAGATCAAAACAATCTTCGTAAGTAGCTATCTTGTCGATTGCACAGTTTTGTTTCAATAGCAATTTAGTAATCTGTAAAATTGTAAAAGTTTATTGATTTAAAGCTTAATAATATTAGAATTACTTCAGAATTTCCGTTTTGAGCAGCAAGATGAATTGGAGTAAATCCATCACTGGCTTGAGCATTAATATCAGCGCCGTATTCAATAAGTAGGGTTACAATATCAACGTTACCAGTACTACACGCCAAGTGTAATGCAGTAATGTTTTCAGCTTCAACACAAGACTTTCCCTGTGAAAAGAAAACACTTTATAAGTTACAAGTACTTTTGAATGGACGAAATGTTTGCTAAGAACAAAGTCAATAGGACGTTCACTAATCAATATAGTATTGATCATTAGAAAAAAGGTTCTTAAAAAATTAATTCATTTCAAATTAAAAACAAATTCGTACCAGAGATATATCTGCTACATTTCCTGGTGCTTTATGCTCTAGAAGAGCCTTCACAACTTCTAAATTACCAAATTCAGCAGCACAGTGTAAAGCTGTTCCGCCGTCGCTTGCTTGAATATTTATCTTGGCTCCCGCCTCAAGGAGAATCTTAACAACTTCTGTACAGCCTCTAGCTGATGCCGCATGAAGTGCTGTTATATTCTTATGCATGCCAAAAACTTTTGTAGCATTTAAATCAGCTCCTCCTTTAATTAATTTCTGCACAATTTTACTACTTCCACTTCTAGCAGCAATATAAAGTGGCGTCACATCCGATCCAACAATGAATAAATCATTCCTGTATAAATCACAATCTCTTGGTAATAAGGTGACCTGTGTTGAATCTCTTGACATATTCCATCTTGTTTTATAAGAATCGCTTCCCTTACAGTTCACTTTGCATCCCGCTTTAAGGAATTTTTCAACGAGATTTTCTAAATTGTACCAAGCTATAAGATGTAAACAAGAAATATCTGAGATATTTGTGGCCTTAGGATCAGCTCCAGAGATAAGGAGGACATCAAGTATAATTTTGCAGTTCTTCAAGTCCTTTTCGTGATCAACATCTTCAGTCAATTCAAACATTTTATGTGCATTCCCGTATACCCATAGACAATAGTGGAGAGGTGTCCATCTATCCTTTAAAGAAAACAAGGTTTATACAGCATATCTGTGATGTTGTAATGTAAATAGCAACATTAATTAATCAATAATGTTTCAATTGCAGTCTTTATTAGCATTCTACTGATCTAAATTTGTGAATAATAGTATATAATAATATTTACAATTGCTCTTAGTCACAGTTATTGGAAGGAATCATAATCCTTTAGGGTTAAATTAGAACAATTAAGCAGTCTTCTGATTTAAGAGATAAAATCTGTGGCCTTGAGATACAAGCCTACAGTATACAGTATTTATATATATATGTTAAAATAAAGAATTTGTGTTGTTTTGAATAAGAAAGATTAGGGATTTATCAAATCAAAATGATATAATCCGCAATAAAGGTTGCTCACCCTATCCCTTGCGTTAACTATGTGAAAATGGGGACTATCCCTTAATACTTTCTTTACTTTTTCAAGATCATTCATATACACGGCTAGAAATAAGTCCAAGCTCTAAAAGCACATTAAAATAAACAAGTATTAATATCATTGATTAGGTGTTATTAAAAATAGAAAGAAAAACCGTGGAATAGTCTTCCAAGCTGTTTTGTGGAGCATATTTTGTATATCTCTTATCCTTATTCATCTTTTGAGTAATCCTGTGTAATTATACATCAAATCCCTTTCATAAAATATATATTAATACTAAGAAAAGGTATACCATCAGGTCACATCCGTTGTTTCTAAGGACGCTTCGATCAAAACCATATGTTCTCTCAGTGGCGCCAAGTCACGTGACTCGTTTGTTTATTGATCTGCAAATTCAATACGCACAGTTTCGCTGAGTGAGATTGATTTTTATCCGTTTATAGGCTGAAAACTGTTTTATCGATTATCGTATAACAGTTCATTGTTCAAGTATTTGAATGGTTCAATTTGAATAATTTATTCAACAATAACATTGTAATCTCATGAATAATTATCGGAAATTTAATTTTAATATCCGGTAAAACGAATATTTCGAATATATTAGTACATTATTAAAGTTTTCAGATTAATAGAAAAGCAATAAAGGAAAAAGATAGAAAAAGAAATCAATAGTTGTATTGTTTATTTTTATAAATAAAAGAATGTGCGCTAAAGAGAACATTAGTTGAAACTTTTGCAGGTGTTTATTTATTGATCTCTGTCAAGGTACAAAATGCTTATAATAGACAGATTTTGTCGCTAAGTTACATTCCAATTTAATAAAGTTATAAAAACTATATTAAAATGGCATACAAACAGTTTGTTTTAACGATCATGGTTATATTTCTTTTTAACTATTCTTACTAGTATGATGCATTCTAAATACTATAGTTTATTCTATATCCATGAAGTATATAAATAATCATTAATATATTAGGTTTAATTGAAACTGTTACGAAAATTGATTTCATATCTATTTAAACGATTTCTTTTATTCCATTTCCTTTAATTAAACACTAAACTAATTCGCGAGATTCAAATATATATACAATATGTTATTATAGTATTTATGTAAATATGCTGTATATGTACTGTCCATATATAGATATATATAAATATTATAGAAACAATATACTGTATAATAAATGGACAAAAACAATACGAATATTTACAATAATAGTCTATAAATAAGTAAAATATATATATTTATCGTAAATTTCGATTTTTCATACATCACTCGAAATCAACAGAGCCTTCATTTTTTCAGTGGAGGATATTTAATCTCTGTGTTTCCTATGGATATTTAAACGATATCTGACCTAATTAAATTTCAAAATTTTTTAATAAAATACATTTGCTTATATATATTTGTCTCGTGTATTGATACAAATGTGTATTCAGACATTGTATGTAAGTTTAAAAGTAAATCATAAAATGCATGATAGTTAATTCTATTTTTAATAAAAATCGAAGAAATTTATTTTTCTTTTATTCAACCAATTTTTTTTATTTGCTGTTTTTTTGCAGTTTTAAAGAATAATATGATTAAGTTTTTACAAATAAGTACCATTCACAAGAGTTATTCAAAATATTCAAAGAATCTCTCTTTCTCTCTCTCTCTCTCTCTCTCTCTCTCTTTCTTAAACACTCTCTTCTTCTCCCCCTCACACACGTAAACACTTGTTTTTATCAAACTAATCGTATTAAAAGTTAGAATATGCGAAAGCAAGTAGTGTTTTTCTGCACTTTTTAGTGTTTTATATTTCACAAGTATGAACGTTGAAGCCTGCAAAAGTACTTTAAAAAAATCCCTGAAATGTTTCACTAACAGAATTAGCGATTGTAGTTGATTATCAGTGTATTTAAACTTGTATAAAGTATGGAAGAACTTTGGCATTGTTCAGTATATACACTATACTTAAATTCTATTTTATACATATATATTTATATATCATGTAGATAATCCCTGTTTGCTCCTTTATTATCTGCTAATCGCCCGCTGTTTTTAGTTTTATAATAATAAAGATATTATATAAAAAAATGAAAGAATAAAGTATCGTAGTGAATTATTGAATTGAACAAAGAAGTATTACACGTGTTACCCCTAGTTTTTGTTAAAAATAATATAAAAAGTATAAATGTTTTATGTTTGTTGAATAATAATGAAGATTATTCATCACTTTTAGAGTTTGTTTTTTCTTTTCATTCTTTCTCTCTCTCTCAATCTCTCGGCTAACAGGCCGATTCTATTGCGACAATCGTGTCTTATCTTTTGAACGAATCTTCTATAAATTTATTCCATGGACGTTCCCATGGTACCGTTACCAATTATGCCTATAATTAACAGGTGAACAAAATTTTGTAGGCCTGGTTAGTCGATATTGGCAACATCTGCATAACATTTTGTACAAAATTTGCTGCTGAACATTAAAAACTATGGACCGTTCGAATGTCGATAGTGCTTTCGAACGCTTTATCACGTCCACAATAGCTACATTGATTACAATAATTTTTTCATGGCGTCTTCTTGTCGAAATGAACGACGTTCCACCTGCCCGACAGGAGGCGCTTGAGGTGAAAGAGACGCCTGTACAAAGGGATATAGACATCGATTCTGATTCTGAGAGCGAAAATTCAGGTATTTCAGCCGTTTTAGCTCGACCTCTGGAAGCGATAACGGAAGAGGACACCGATGATTTATCTGAAGTCGAAGATAAGGAAAAATTGATTCTTGTTACCATGGAAACAAGTGAAACTTGGATGTTTAATGATAATAGTCCAAACGATAGCCCGATAAAGGAGAGATTAAATTCTCAATTTACTTATAGTAAAGAATTAGATATACAGGTAGGATAAATATTTTCCGAATTTTAATAATTTTTCAACAATTTTTCTTTTAAAAAAAAAACTTTTAACTTTAAAAAAAAATTATTAAAAAAAAGTTCATACATTTCATTTTTTTCCCTTCTTTATGATGAAAAAACAAAATAGTTAGGCTTATTTTCAATTATAGAAATTAATATGATTCACAATAGTTATTAAAATAATAAATATAGCAATTTTTATATTATATGTGAACAATAAATTAAAGTTATTTTGAATAGTTAAGAGAAATTCTTATAATATAAATTTTTCTATTTATAATCATGTGTGGACAATACAATAAAAACTATAATAATTTGTACAATATACAGTATAACGACATACTTGTATATAAAATAGTATGAGCTTTGTTGTGTGTGTGTGTGTGTGTGTGTGTGTGGTCGCGTGTGGCTGTGTGTTTGTGTACTATATTAAACTGTGTATATTTTCATTCAAGTGTCAACAAACCTGATTTCAATCTCCAAAAAATATTTGAATTAATAATGTAATTAAACCAGCTAATTAATTCTTTAATGATCTTTTGCTAAATTTGCATCAATATATCTGATTGATTATTGTTAAACTTTCAATTATTGATTTCAGGACGATGTAGATAGTGATGAATTTCTCTTAATACCAAATTCAGCCAAGATATGTACAGCTGTTGCTACTAGTAAAGCTAAGGCGGAAGAGAACAGTACCGTGGCATCTGCTAAAGCCACTGGACTAAATCCATACATAGCTGTTGCCAGAGCCACAGCAAAAGCTGCTTCAACTGCTTCAGCTAATCTACATAAAGATTCTCCTAGGCAATTAGACGTTACAATTTCTACTTCTGTTCGGCTTACGGATGATAATAGTAATTTTAGACCCTCGGAAGAGAAACAAAGTAACGGTTCAATTTTCTATGTTACAAAAAATCAGTTGGACGATGGCGAAATTTTAAAAGTTGTAAGGGAAGAAGTTCGTGTAGAGGACGAGACAGACTCTTTGAGTCCCTTGATTTTACAGAAAACTTTTTCTGGCGATAAAAATACAAAAGGTTTTGCCCATCATGGATTTTCATTTGGAGGAGCTGAAAGAAGAAGAATCCTAACCGAGGGTGAAGACTATCAATCTTCCACGGATAGTCTTCGAAGACACGATTGGAACAGATCTAATAGCTCCCGAAATGAGGACCTCCTCAGTCTAAGAAGTTCAGATTGGATTGATAGAGAAACAATGGGCAGTGAAAATTGGAGTACTTTCTCCGAGAATCAGTGGGTTGAAATGGAGAGCGATAGTCAACCTTCTGGAAGAAAAAATCAGTTAGGAATGTCTGGATCTGAGAGTTTAGGAGAAACAAGTAACAACCAATCAACTGATATATCATTTTCAATAGACTCTAATACAACATCGAGATTTTACACCGAATCTGATAGCAATCTAGACAACACATCAGAGGTAAATTTCAAGAAAAAGTCTTGGACGGATATCTTAACTGTACCATCCAAAAGTAAACCGAGAGAAAAAGAGATTCCATTTGAAAGAGTTGTCAGAAAAGTGTCTGATCGAAATTTCGGTGAGAAATATTCCGCGTCAGGCCCTAGTAGCCTTTCACGATCTGAGGGACTTGAAACGAATTATTCACAAAATTTCGATAATAGCCTCAGAGAGAATTTTTCCATTACACAAGAAAAGTGTGACGATCGATTCGAGGTTAACGATTGTTTAAGCCGCCAATCAACAAATAGGCCTAAAATCCCACCTGAGGGACCTGACAACAATAACTACACTGTGCTGGAAAGAGAACAGAAAGAAGGCCCTGGATATTCTAGTGAAGAAAGTAAGTTTATTTCTTTTCACTCTTTCTCGTCTATAATTTCCATATTGGAGTATAAACATTCAATATAAATTCTTCTATTACCAAATTCTAGAGTCGTCCGACTCAACTCTCAAAGACGAAGATAAAATGTTGAAATCAGCACCAAAATCAATTATTAAAAACGTTCCTCTCGTTCCTTTCTCGACGTTACCACAGCCAGTTCCTCTTAAAGATGAATTTGAAAAAAGAAAGAAGAGACATAAGCAGAATTCATTAAAGAACTTGATAGTTGTAGATATAGATATTGAAAATGATAAGAAACCTCAAAGGAAAAAGAAGCTATTGGAGAAAACTCTAAAGCATTTATCGGAATATAGGCCAAAGGTGCAAGAAATAACTAAAACAGATTGGAACCTTAAATTGAATAGACGCTACAAAAGTCAAGGAAATATGGCATCTCTATCATCATCAACTAGTTCAATAGTCGGACAGTTTTTTAACAATAGAGGTAGTTCTTGCACGAATTTATTAGAGACAGATATCGACAGTCTGGAACAAAGTCACGTCCAGGAAACAGATATCGACGAAGCGTGGGCGGAAAAATCTCAAAGTATGACAAATTTAAATAAATCGAAGGATGCTGAGAAGAAAAGATTCGTTCCTACTTTTTATACATCGGAAATTCAATTAGATATTTGGAAATCATCGGAAAATCTTGATGTTCCTAAGTGGTTTAAAGATAATTATTCTGGAGAAAAAATCAATATCCTAAAGAAAAACCCCACGTTAGATTCAAGTAATAAAAAATATAATACTCAAACTAATTCTAGTACAGACAAGGTGGATGGCAGACAAAAGCCTATTGTTATAGTCAAACGGGTGACAAAACCTCTATCGAAATCATGTGAATCTCTTAGAGCAGGGAGGAAACTTGAACATTTTGAACTGCCGAGTGCAAAGTTCAAGAAGCACGCACCACCAATAAAACCTATTAAAATAATGAGTAAAGAGGATATACTTGGTAAAACTCCCCCAAAAATTCCCCAAAAAACTGATGAATGCCGTGAGGCATATCTAAAATATCGTATGCAAATGAGTATCAATTCCGCTAAAGATGGGCCAGATGGTGCTCAAAATCCTCTTTCATATATTAAAGACGACCGTAAGCAATTCTTTAACGATCCAATTTTATTAAATGATGTAAACACAAACGACAAAGTTAATATTTCAGGAGAACTCTCAGAGAGCTCTCTTGCGAATGGACAAAATAAAAATAATGAACATCAAGATGACCCAAATTCAATAAATAAGTTTGATGCCAATAAATATATCATTAACAAAGATAGAAACATTGAAAAAGAAGAAAGTCTACCAAATGACAAATCGAATATCCAAAATGGAGATGAAAGAGCTATTTCCCGCTGGGATGATGATATTGACAAACCAAACTTTATTAGAAGAGAAAATGAAATTCAACAGAACACAAGAGAGTTACAGAACGAGTCAGAAAGTAAATTTGAAGATGGTTTTCCAGTTCTAACACTTCAAATGAGTCCAGGGTCAAGGAGGAGATTGCGAAGTCCTATTTTACCAAAGAAGGATGTCCAAATTCAACTAACCAAGACAGACTCTGATATCGACATCGAACGTGTATTTAATCAGCTACTGGGAAATAATGAATGCCTTGGCGATGACGACAGATCAAATATTGAAATTGTCGGAACGGAAGAGTCCAACATAGGAGTATCAAAGTTTGCCAGAAGAGAGTCTGTTTCAAGTTTTGAAGAGAAGTTAACATTCACTGACGTTCCTATTGAAAGTTACGATATGCCTACTAAATCAAAACCTCTTAGACCAAGCGTCAGACGACTGGGAGATTTACCTGATAAAGATTCGCTTGGCATTGAAATAAAATGTAGAAATTCCTTTTGTAACAAAAGGGTTCCCTTCTCCTCGGCTAGGGAAACCTACAAAACTTGCCACAGTTGTTACACATACTATTGCAGTAGAGATTGTAGAACTCAACATTGGGACCAACATAAACGTAAATGTTTATATTCTAAAGTAAATTCATTATGTAAGAACATACTAAAGAAAATACACGACGAGAAGAAATTACTTTACGAGTTTTCAAAGAAGGCTAGAACTGGCTTTTTAACCAAAGGACGTGGTTGCTTAATTTTAGTCTTCAAAGATCAGAGAAAATCTGAAGACTTTTTAAATATTGGAAATTTGAAATCATTGCATCTTAGCCCTTTATATGTTAGCTTGAATGATTTAAAGAGAGCTAGCGATGAGAAATCTGGTCATTTATCAGAACTAATTGATATGGTTAATTCTTATAATCCAGATTTAAAATGGGTCATGGATGTTGAGATCGTTGCCTCTGAGTTAGAATATCAACACAGGCCGAAACCTCGTAAGACAGGACCTGTTATTAAGAGATGTGTTAAATTAAGATTAAGCAATGATTTTACGAAACAAAAGAGGTCCGTTCCAGAATATGAAACACTTATTCTAACGGCTGTTCCTGGTTCGGAATTCTCTGAGAATTTAGATGAAAAGAAAGCCAGAGAATTATGTTTTGCAAATATTCAAAGAAAATTTCAGGAAAGAGGCGTCAACTTGCAAAAAGAATTTACGAAAGTTTATGGTCAGTTATGTAGATTTGTGGAGAATAATGAGCATTTTAGCCCAATATCTATCTATCCAATTGATAGAAGAACTGGAAAAAAGTTTATGTGCTTGATTATGCCTGATTCTGAGCCAGAAATTGAATGGATTACTCAGCCCGATATTGCTGCTGAATTGGACTTGAGTACCGATTTATAAAATTAATTTATTGTACAAAAAAAGAAGAAAAATGACACTTTCCTATATTTTCTACATTCGAAACATTGATAATAATTTTTATATTTGGATGGTTGCTAAAACGAAAATTAATGTATTTAAATAAATCAGTGCTGTGAAAAAAGACGGAGGTACTTTATTAATTAGTGAAGCAAAAGAGAATAGTTTTTAATGTCTTGCCTTATTACGGAAATGAATTTAATTGAAATATGCAATGTTTTTTAATAGTAATACATTTCTACAACAATGACAATTTATAATTGGAAAAAGACTTGATTAGTTCTAATGTTATACATATACTGTGTATACAAGTATACTGTATGTATATATATATTGTATATAACAAATTTGGTAAAACTAGTATAATTATAAGTAAATGAATAAATCAGTTTTGAAATATAATTGAGATACTATTTTTCTCATATAGCATTTCTTACATTTTCTCTTTCTCTTTCTCTCTCTCTCTCTCTCTCTCTCATAAAAACTCTACAATCATAATTTATGATTTTTTAATTAATGGCAACTTATTCAAGTATCCAAAACTATACAATAATTTATTAAGCTATAAACAAACTTCGAAAAACAGTATATTTATTATCTGTGACTGATAAAAAGAGAAGAAGCATCTGTTGTTGTAATTTATTGAATATTTTGAGTATTTAACCCTTGAATTGCTTAAATTATAGATGAACAAAAGAGAGAGATAACAATGATGATTGTTAAATTTCTATATATAATTTGTTTCTTTTTGTCATTAAATGGTAAGTAATAAACAAAATTTCCATATATACTACATATATATATATATATATATATTGTATTTGTATATGTGTATTAGACAGGATATATATTATATATATACTTATATCTACTTGATTACCCTAATTCAAATTTCTATTCTTATATTTTTAACTAATAATTAACTACTAATTGCTATTATTACTATAGAAACGCGACTTAATGCCCACTCAAAAGTTATTCACTTCGATACAATGAATATTAGAATATCTCTTGGGAAGAGAGATATTGTACTTTATTTAGAGAATAACAAAAATATCAATCCCAACATGCAAATTTCCTTCAGTGATAGAATGGAAGCTCATGGCTATATTTCCAATTACCAACTTTTTCAAGATGTACACAATGGTGCATCCATCACTTACACTGAAATTATTGTTAACAGTCACATGAGTTTTTATATCGAAGGACATTTTGAGGTCGATGGCGCTATCATGCAGATATCTCCATTATTTTCGGAGAAGGAATTGAGATATTACGTTATTAATTCAAAAGATAAAATAGATGAAAAGCTTCCGAAAAGGAATGTTACCATATTAAATTCAACAAATACATTTAAAGAGAATAGAAGAAGGAGTTCAAAATTAATAAATCACTTTTATCTAGAGCTATACTTGGTAATAGATTATAGTTTATGGTCTTTTTATAAATCTCTTCAAAACAACAGTCAGTTGTTACTAAATTTTAAAATTATACTCTTATTATTCATATTCCTAGAATTTCCTATTTGTCATTAGAATGGGATTTCACACTTCACTTACTTCAAATTTAAATTGTAAATTAAAAGTAAAATTTAAGAACTGACTGTTGTCGTTAGATGAAGAAGCAACAGTTCAGTATGTCAGACGTCGGTTTTCCTTTTTTATCAACAGTATTGATCTTGTTTATAGAAGAATAAAACATCCTAAATATGATATATCCATATCTCTAAAAGATGTGAAAATTATGACAAAATGGAGTGATAGTTTCGTTCAAAGAGCTAAATCAAAGAATGGAAAAACTACAGTCGACCTGTCAAAAACTCTACAAAATTTTACTATATCACTTCATAAGCTGAAAATTTTTGATAATTTAGATTTTATGGACTTGGATCACACCATGCTGTGGATTAAAAGGGTAAGATATAATCAAATTCTCATAGATATGCCTCCAAATTGATTCTTTTATCTCTCAATTTTTTAGACTAATATCAACGGGCAAAGAAATACCCTGGGTATTGCTTATTTTGGGTCTATATGTACTAGATTTTCCACGTCAGTTATCTTGGACCATGGAAATGAGGCCTATCTAACAGCAGCTCATGAAATTGGTCATTGCCTGGGGGCTAGTCATGACGGGAATTCATCATCAACAGAATCATATAATCAGAGTCAATGCAGAAATGACCAATATTTAATGAGTTCTTTAAAGCACGTAAAAAAAAGTAGATTTGTCTTTAGTCCGTGTTCTGAATCATCTATATACAAAACTATAATGGGTTTAAACAAAATGAAATCATCTTTTCCAAGAGTATGCCTATCCAACAAAGTTTGCGGTCATAATTATAATTATATTCGAAATTACGAACCCTTCGGCCAAATAGAAAGTCAAAGAGAACAATGCGCTAAATGGTAATGTTATAAGCGTCTATAATTTTTTGCATAGACAATTTTACAATATATTTTCGTTTCTAAATCCTAGGATAAAAAGCGTTGGAGCAGATTTAGAGTTATATAGAGTATCTCCAAGAGGAACAACTTGCGCATTCCTCCGATGCAATCTTAATGGAAAGACTTACGGTAGCCAATACGGCGTTGCTGATGGAACTCCTTGCACAGCCGGTAAAATATGTTGGAGAGGAAAATGTAAATCAGCCGATGTATTGCAATATGAAAGTAAGGCTTTCTCGCAAGATAACATGTGTAAAATTGAGAATGAAATCGATAGGAAAGTACCCAAAAAGTAAGATTAATAGCTATTATCTATTATACATATTAGATTGGATAATAATACTTTCTTTTTGAAAGTTGTACAGATAAGGATGATATTGCGGCTTTTTGTGACGTATATGTGTCGAAATATCCTCGTTTCTGCTTTAAATATAAAGACTATGGCGGTTGTTGCGAAACTTGTCATAAATACGGTTTGAAGAGTTTTAGATTGAATTCTTTAAGAGATCAGTGTTCGCCAAATCCGTGTAAAAATAAAGGAAGATGCTTAAATTTTGAAAGTCGTAAAGGGTTTATGTGCGAATGCGACGAAGGATATATTGGAGAATTTTGCGAAATAAAACTAATACAATGTCAAGGATTAAACGATATTAATAATATTCAATTAGCAAATTTGGGGTATAAAATAGATTGCCAACAACTTTTTACTGAAAAACTATCGTGTTCTTCGCGAGATGTTTCAGAAATATGTTACCAACAATGTAAACCTTGTCTTTGTAAGCCATGTTTGAATGGTGGAACATGCATACCTCAAGATTTTGATTATGAATGCAAGTGTGCAAGGGGTTATGCCGGTAAATCTTGTGAAATTATGAGAGGTTGTATGGATACTAATGGAAGATTTAAGATAAGAGATGGAATAGGAAATATTATTGGTTGGATAACATGTCAGGAAGGAATTCTTTTATTGGGATCATCGTACTTTTGTTCTGTACGAGGAACAGAATGTTGTAAAACCTGTAAAGAGTGGATTAAACGATTAGATCTTTGATAGGATTTATACATCTTTCCTTAGATACAAAAGATTATGCTCTATTATTAATTAAACAAACAGAATTACTATTAATAATATTTAAGACTAAAAATAGATAGTTGAAAAATACTCTTTTCATTTTTTTATCAGAGAAAAACATACTTTACATTTTCTATCTATTCAGAAAAAAAAGAGAGTTATAAATGACTCTCGATAATTATTTCGATAATAGAATATAGATGGCAATACCATTGGTCATACTTTCCATCTTGCAAGAAGAAGACAGTAAACTGCTTGCAAGAGTTATATATGACGCGAAGGCCAACAATAAACGACCGTCATCTAGACAGTTAGCTGTCGCCTGCACTTTCCCAGTTGGGTCATGATTAGATATAGTCATTCCATTCTGATGCTCCGCTTCGTTAACTATGTCTCATTGATCATTCTCTTTTACATAAAAAGTGATAAAAGGGACCTTATTGTAAAAAATTCCTCATTTAGGTTTGCAAAAATAGACGTATAGTTTTGATCGATGTAAGAATACGTTAAAGATTGCATAAATACCTAAAATCACAATGAAATTATTGACTGAGCGAAAATTCCTTACAAATAAGAGGAAACTAACTATAAATTACATATGCATTTTGGCTATTTCCAACTAAATAAACTGGTGCGTTTAGTTGTATAAGCAATTCACTTTCTCTTTTCCTCCCCCCCTCTCGCAGGCTTGTTCTCTTTGTTCTTTATTTTTTAAAAAATCTATTCACGGAGAAAACCGTCGAATGATAATTTGTGACTTCCGGTTTCTTATTTCTCTTCATTCAATTTATTTTTAAATTCATTAAAATTTCGTTTCCCTTAGAAAAGCTTAAGCTATAGAATAAGAATGATCAATTTGGAACAATAGAAATGGTAGAAAGGCAACCTTAGTTAATTTTTACTGACATCTAAAGTAATCAACCGTGTTATGGAAAAGGAAAAGAGAAGACTATAGCGTTTACGAAGATACAGTATTATTCCTTTTTTATGGAAAGAGAAAGAAAACAGATCAATAGATATTAACCAAGAATGGAACAATATTTAAGAGTGCTGTCTCCTTTTTCTTTATAAAGAAAATTTCTTTTTCATTTACCCATGGTATAAGAGAAAAGAAACATTATCGATCTACAAATGAAGTAATAACAAAGTCTTATGCTCTCATTCAATAATTAAAAAAATCGCTTAATACCTTTCTTACATCAAAACTCTCATTCCTCTAGTGAGGAATTCTATTAAATTACTTATTATTTAAAAGAAAAATTTTGAGTTTTTGATGTTCAGTACTACCAATAGAACGATTATTTGAAGAGAAAATGAAACTATCCTTATATTCGCTCTTTTCATCATAGGAGATAATATCTGTAAGGTAGTAAAGATTTTGTATGCTGGCGGGTACTGCTTTAGAATTAGTCAGAAATCAAAGTCAAGTCATTCACCACCATCTGAAACACTTATCCCAGAAAAAAGACTAATATTGATAGTTCCCGCCTGATTTCCTCTCACAGATCGAACATCTTGAATTCTTTATATCCTCTAATATCTATTATTACTAATGATCTATAGGTGTACAGAGAAACAGATCCTTCAATAAATACACTTTTTTTAATTATTAAAAAGCCCTAGAATGTATAATAGTGTGAAAGGAAGAATCATTAAATTAATAGTAATAAATACAGCAAAGTAATTAAAAATTTTGTTTACTACGCATTTGTTGCTTATTAATACGGCGTATTAGTACATATTTTATATGATATAAATCTAGCATAATTTCATTGAAAACCTATGTATCTTCTCTTTGACAAATAAGCTTTTCTAATTTATTCTATCAATAAATTAAGCTACCTAATCATTTTGATGATTATAATTAACGAACTAATATATGAGGTCTCCCACCCACAATACTTGGTTTTTTCGTCCTCTTTTTCCATTTTAACATAAATTCATCGTCAACCATATTAGCAAATGAAATGTTGAGCTACAAATATATGCTAATGGCGAGAACGGGAACTAACGCGAAATAATAGTCCTTTGAAGAAGCCTTTTGTATAGACTATAATTTATTGTACTACCTATAATAATTGATAATTACTCAGTGCTTTGGTAAAATTGTTGACTTTCATTTAGGTAAAGGTACAAAGGCTAGAATAGTACAGAAGTACCGTTTCATACCTCCATCCTATTTAGTCCCTTACATCTGTTGTTTGAAATTAAATTAGCTATTAATTGAATCCTTTTCCGATAGAATGATCATTCAAGGAATGCCCGTTACGAAGCAACGCCATTACGTTCAATTAAACAATCTCGTATCTTTGGAAAACTTGCTTTATGCTGTAAAAAAAAAATATTTTGTAGAATTAAAAAGGAATGCTTGAAAGTAAATTTATACTTTAAAGCTATTCTTTTTTACCCTAAACGATATAATTAAACTTGTGAACTTTACTAAAGTTTCGCAAAGTCAACACTTCAAAGTGATTTTAATGATAGATGAAAAAACAAGGGCAAAAATTTATAACAAAAAGGAAAGAAAGAGAACTGAAGTATGCAAATTTAAGAAATTCGTAGAAAAGTAGAAAAACGATTTCTAATATCAGTATAATTATGGATTAGAAGGGAACTTTATTATCTTATTTAATGACCGTTATATTTCTAATGAAACATTGATAAGTCTGTTTTTAGATAAAGTATAAATTTATACTATGTATATATTTTTACACAATTAATCATTCATTAAAAGAACTTGAACAGCAAAATTTTCCGTTTCATTCTTTTTATGCCTTAAAAGAGTGTTTGCGTGGGTAAAATTCATATTATTTACTTTTATTATATTATAAATATTCATGAATAATTAAAAGGATTTTCGTATAAAAACAAAAAAGAACCTCTAAACCAGTTTACGCAACGTGATCAACTTGAGAGGCTAATTATCGAATATCTTTAAAAACGCGGCCTTTTCGTGCCTTTGATGGCACACCGCCCATAGGGGTGTTCAATGGTCATAACCGGAAACGGCTTTAATCGAAGCTCTCAGTCTTCTAGACGCCGGCGTTGCGACGCTATGGACAAGCGTATTTTCTCTTCATTTCTCTCCGGCTTCATTTTAGCTTCAATCTTTTTCTCTTTAATTAGCCTAATCAACTTTGAAGCACTACCAGAAAAACGTCTACCATCTGCAGTGATTATGGGAGTAAGAAAATGCGGAACAAGAGCTCTGCTACAATTTTTGAGTCTGCACAGGGACATCGAAATCGCAAAAGAGGAAGTCCACTTCTTTAATCGGAAATGGAGCAACGGGCTAGATTGGTACCTTTCTCAGATGCCAACAGTTAAACGCCATCAAATAAGTGTAGAAAAGACACCTGGATATTTCATATCTTTTCAAGCTCCTTCAAGAATATATGCGGTGAATTCTGCCGCAAAATTGCTGCTGATAGTCAGAGAGCCAGTTGCAAGAGCCATTAGTGATTACACACAAATATTTAATAATCGTTTAGCAAGGAATAAGTCTAAATTGGCCGAGTTCGATAATCTAGCTATAAAGAATGGACGCGTTATGGGAAATTATAAACCGATATCAACTTCCATTTATCATCTACATATAAGAAAGTGGTTGGATATATTTAATCCAAATTCTATACATATTATTGATGGAGATAATCTCATTCGTAATCCTTTAGAAGAATTGCGGAAAGTTGAAAAATTTCTACAACTTGATCCTTTTATTAATAACAGTATGATTTATTATAACTCGACAAGAAAATTCTATTGTATGAAAAAGGATAGTAAGAACATATGCCTAGGATCTACAAAGGGAAGATCTCATAGACCCGTCACTAACCAGACGATAGAAACTCTAAAAAAATTTTATTATCCTCACAATAAGGAATTTTTTAAAATTGTTAACAGGACTTTTAGTTGGAATTGAATCAATTTTTCTCTTTATTTACTCTCTTGATTTAATCTTCAGTTCTCCTTTTTTTTCGCTCCTCTCTTTCTTTCTTAAAGATTTTCTCAATTTTAAGAGAAAAGCATTTTTTGGTATAGAGTATGTATATTAAATAACTTGTATATAACTATATATATATACATATATATTACACGTTCATCTGTTAAAATGTATATTTATAGCACAATGATCAAGCTTAATAGTTTAATTATTAAAAGAATAACAACAGGTCGCACCTCATATTTTTAATTAATTACCTTCTTATCCCTATTTTACAGTAAAATTGACATGATTACTTGGTATTTTATTCATCTTATAGCGTCTTTAATGAGTGACTGTAAGCGCAATATTTTGACATTGATGTCGTGAAAATCTATACTTTCTCTATGAATAATATATATAAATATATATATATATGTTACACCTTGCATCTTACGTCATATTTTGAAGCGTTACAGCCACCTTGTTTTTCTTTGCATTTTAAATTGAGGCAATCGCTGTTATTTTCGTATATTTATTCTTGACGTTTGATTCCCTAATGATATAGTAAAATGGATATTGATGGAAGAGATGACGCTTTATTCATATGCTTTTTCTGATACAAAAATTTGATTGATTCTTGAGGCGTGATTTGTATATATATATTACTTAAAATATCACCTTAAAAGATTAATATTTCAAAGCGTTAACCTTTCAGAATTCCTCCTTTTATCTCTCTTATTTTATGTTTCATAAAAACTTTCTTATAAACACGGAACTGTTCCTTGTCTTCTCTTTAAACTTAAAGTTACTTTCCTAAGTCATGACCGTCATATGATTTCTTTTTTCTAAGATATCTTGTATAAAATGACCTTTCTATTGATTAGCCCCTATCCTTCATCTTTCTCGATTCTTTTCCCATTCATTTATCCACATTTCTCTATTTTTCCATTAACCCCTTTTACAGTCTACCTGTTTACACGTTTTCCTAAAAATTCTACTATTCACTCTACAAGAGAACAGTCATCTTATTCTAATAAAGTAATTACTTTTTTTTGTTTTCAAAGAGAAAAACTTAGCAAGGATATCTACTTTAAATCATCGGCTATAATGGAATTTTGGGATTTTCGCTAAATCCCTTAGCGCGATTAAATGCGAAAGACGATTGAGGAATGTAGTAATTTACATACTTTTAATCAGATAACTCAGTTAAAAATCTTCTAGAGATTCCTTGAATTAAAAAATATATTATCTTCCAAAGACCATTTCCATAAAGAAGTGTAAAGATCGAATTATTTGAATATGAATAAGGATAATATTTGTAAAAGTAGTTAAAGAAGAGAATCAAACGAAGAAAAGCGTTTATTAGCAAAGAAAATGTATTTAATCAATTATTCTGAAGTATTTAACGAGAACTTTATAAAATTGAGATAAATTGACATTTCTAAAAGAGAAAAAAGACTAATTCTTTGCAAGTTTGTTTAACTGAACATCTCAAATTTATATTAAACAAATTAAAAAGCCACTTAACGTCACTTAGACTTTCTTGAGTTTAATTAAAAATTGTTAACTATTGCCTCTCTTAATTATTATCAAGGGAAACCTTACAACTTCAGTTTAGCGTGGAAATAGATGCTCGTAAATTGTTTACTTTTCTTTATCTATATCAAAATATAAATAGTTACATATTACGTAATAGTAAAAACATTTGTTTTCAAATAATTTAAAGCGAACAGAAGTTTTAATTTTTCATATTAATATAATACTTATACTGGATTAGAAAGTACGTTTGTACGTGATATAATCATAGAGACCTGCAAACACTTAGGATAAAGTAAATAATTCTAGTACATTACCCTCATACATTACAGTGTTTTGCTAAACCTATATAGTACACACATGCACACTCACATATGTTGTATGCATATATATATATATATATATACTGTATATATGTTAGTTTCATACAATATAGAGTCAAATATTTGATAATATATTCATATTATAAAATTTCTCTTTTATCTTTTTTCTTACTTTTGAAAAAGTTTACAAGTCCGTTAAAAATTGATTTTACTCTAAATAACGGCCACTGAGATTAATTTTGCATAAAATTCCCCATAGAGTAGCTGAGTCTCTATTCGAAAACAATACGACCGCCCTTTCGCTAGCAAATCTGATAATCTTCTAGGCCTAAATAAGCCTATGCAATAAATTGTGGCGAATAAGCCCAACAATTCTATCATCTACATCCACACAGCCAAATTTAGAATATTTTCTGGTAAACTTCTAACCTTTTATAAAAGAACGGATATAAGAAAAAGATAATTAAGCTTTAAACGATTAGAAATAAACTACATTCCTTTCCTTTCTGCTATAAGCAATGTAAATTAAAACAATAATATAATAACTATTAAAAATCCTATGGCTAAACGTTAAAGGACCTTGCACTTGCCATATATTATGTGTTATTGTTAATCAAGTCTCAAATTAAAAGATTGATTTTGAAGATTCGCCAAGAGGCATCATTAGGCTAAAATTTAGAATAGAGTTCTCTGTCTTTGAAAGGTACTTCGATCCATGTGTAAACCCTTAAAAAGTAAGGAACATTATAAAATTTATGAGAAAAAATTCTAAAGGTCTTATAGTGTAGTAGTATGAACAAGCAATAGGAGAAGTAATTTTGGATTCTAGCCTCAAGAGATATACGTAAGAAATAGCTAATATTATACTTTATTTTTGGAATATATATATGTATATATAGAATATGCAACGTGTTATATATATATATATATATATATATATATATATATATATATATATATATACTGTATGTTTATATGTTTTGTTTAGTCTTATACTTACTTCATAAATTATTTTTACACTTATCGTAACTACTATTGGCATAATTTATCATGGTATTTTGAACTTTACGTAACGTAGTACAAATGCTTTTGGTAAATGAATGGATTGTTATGAATAAAAGCGTAAAATTTACTGTAAACATTTTACGCTAAAATTAACGATCAATCAAAACTGGAATCTAGACGGAATTGTGTTGCTTAGTTGTTACTCAAAAAAGGCCAAATTCTGTCATTTAATAGCTTTATACATATCTTTGTTATTGGAAATTTTTTCTATCTTTCTCAATCTTTGTTCTAAAATATTTAATTAAAATTTTCTTTACTCTAAATAGTCTAAAGAGAATACGATGATATAAGAATATATGTAAAATAACTTCACTTAGAAATGATAAGATCACGTGATCAAATAGTAAGAAATTTCTGTAAACAGGCAATCGACGAAATTCCATCATCTAAAATCTACAGCTCACGATAGAGACTACTTATGGAGGGTTACTAAAAACAATTTTTATAATCTAAATTCGTCTCAAAATGCTTTTATCAACCTATGAACGCTAATTAGACGGCTCTCACTAAATGTCGCGACCCAGACATCTAATCTACTCGTCGTCTTCCTTCCTGTTTTCTTTAATCCCAACTAGTCAGCCTTGGGCGCGGTCGATTGACCGCCGTAAATCGGGCGTTACTGAAGGTGAAGGACATATGACAAGTCGACTGCAACAACTGCAATAAAAATATCGCGTCCCTTTTTATGTGTCAAGTGCGTGTAAGGACGTTATTTTCGTATTCTAAACACCGCCGCTCTCTAAACGAGGTGTTGTAACGCAGTTGACGAAGGAGTAATTATTTCCACGCATCCTAACCGAGCTTGATAGACATTTGAGTACTATATATAGATGATAATACTTCCCAGTTATCTATTTTAAACGTAATTTACCTGAAATTTATGAATATTACTTTTTCTTTAACTATACACTTAATTTATTTCTCTTTCGCTTCTTTTTATTACTTTATGGATGTCTCCTCGAAGTCATTAGATTCTATATATCTTTCATCCTAATTGCTAGGATGAGTTTGCCAAAGACATCCCTTGTAAGACTAGTAGATAGGCTGACAAAGCTCTTCTACTAAGGGGAAATGTTACCAAGTCCTTGGTATTTCAGTCATTATTCCCCCTCTATTATTCCAGATTCCTGACTATATAGGAACCAGGATGAAATTGAAAGAATCTATGCCAAATCTATATGTTATGTATATATGTATTTTTGCAGATACTGTATATATAGTATAAGGTAAATGATGTATTTACTAATAAGTATTATAGTGTAATATATATTTTAATAATTTATATGATCTATTTGTAATTATATTAAACGCTTTTTCACATGATTACATGGCAACGCAAAAAAAATATGTATACACAGATGGATAAGATTTATAACTTTAGTTTATTACCCTTAAATAATTCCTACTTGTACTCATTAATCATAACCCAGATATAGCCTTTTACAATGGCTAAACAACACGATTGCGCTTAGACTGGTAAAGAAAACGACTTGTCCCCAGTCAAACAGCCAACTTTTTTTCTAATTTATATAAAAAGTTTTCGTACATAATTGAGTACGTTAACAAATGAAACGTTATATAAAATATAATATTAGGTATATTAATTTAATCAGCCTATTTTGCACTTGTTTATTATTATATAATTATTAAATAAATTTTGAGATGAATAATTAGATATTCATATTTTTTTGCCTCCTTCTCTTTCTTTTCTGCCTGTAAAAACCACTACGCTATACATGTAGCATTTGTAACATTATACTTTACAGGAAAAGTCTAGAAGATGGCAGGCCAATCGTTTAATAAATAAATGATATATCTATGCAAAGAGAACAGTTTTTAGTTTATTATTCTTTAAATATGATTTAAGAGAATATAGTGTAAATAAACAAAGATTCGAAAAGAAACTCCTTAAACCACTTAGGATATAACAAAGTGAAAGAAAAATGAAAACTTTACAAGATATAAATGAAGAGGAAAAGAGAGAGACAGAGAGAGAGAGAGAGAGAGAAAAGACTAGCGTCAACTCATTCATAAAAAGAATTTAGACGTCTTTTAGTGCGTCATTTCAAATATCCGGATTACCTTGAATAATTCGTATAAGAGAAAACGAACTAAAAACGTTTATGAAATGAGAGGGACTTTTTTCTGATAATTCTATTTTTCATCGTCCTTTCCAGTAAACGAATCGCGAAAACGTGATTCGAATACGGTGGAGGGGCTAATAAACGGTAATTAAATTAGATTCGCTCTAATTAATCTCATTAACCTCGTAATATACGGCGGCGTCACTAATCCATTTCGGCTAGTAGGGAAATTGATTAAGAGCAATTAGTTCTTAAATTATATCTAATTGGCGTTTATTAGTTAGTTTATTAACTTTTCCTATTGAGAAAAAACAATACATTATAAAGTCTAAAAAATACGGTAAAAACGGACTTTGGTTTTCCCTATTCCTGATGCATTTTAAAGTTTTCTTGTCTGGTTTAAAGTTACTATCGTATAAATAGAAATTTGCATATTAAACTCATATCCTGGAGATATAAGTCAAACGAATAAATGTACTATATATCGCCAAAACAATTATATATATATAGATTTAATTTGCATAGAAAAACTATTGAATTTAATAGAAAAACATTTTATAGTTATTGTCTATTTATCCACAAAATAGGATATATTGAATTAACCATATTTCTAAAACACTTTAACACATGACTCATCATAAAGTAAAGTATTCAAATTACCATCTTACACAGCTTATGAAATTATCTTCTAAGGGAAATTGTAAAAATTATTTTCTCTTTTCATTACAATGAGTCACAGTTTTCTTTCTAGAGTTTTCCATTAGTCTCTCTCTCTCTCCCTCTCTCTTTTCCTTTCTTACTTTCTTTCTTTCTTTCTTTCTATCTCTTTTCTTCCCTTTCCTACCCTAGATGCCCCTTCACTTTTTTTTTAAGATATTGATTAGAGAAATATTAACTTACAAAGGTTTTCATGGTAACCCTATTTTTTTCTTTACTTTTTTTGGACTTTCTTTTATCCTCTGTTATGCAACATTTTGTATTCTATTATTAAATAATTTTTCAATTTACAAACATAAGAAAAATGTAAAGATAAAAAAAGACTTGTGTTTTTTCTGTTGTCAATCACAAAAGAAAGAGGTAAAGAAGAAAGATAAATAAAAGAAGTATACTTTTTTTATTTTAAGCGTCGCCATCTATGTTGTAAATATTAAACTAGACGAAAGAAATTTGGCGTCTATTTTATTTATTTCTTATTAATTTCATAGATATTATATGAAACTATAAGCATCAGTAGTCAATATTAGATCATAGTATTTTGTACAATATGATTATAACATATGTTAGGTAATTAATAATTAAAGAAGAAAAGATTATGTTCTTACTTCAAATATTACTAATGTTTTTATACATAATTAAAGTAGAAAAAAGAACAATTTTCTGTTTCTTTCCCAATACAACCCAAGTAATAAAAGACATAAAAGGAAGAATATTTTAACCATTTGACTTCAATCTAATAAAAATAACAAATTGGAATAAAACAAAGAAAAAGAGAAGAGTCTATCTACTTTCCATTCTCTTTTCATATTTCTTGATGTCAAATTGTTTTTTTTAAATATTTCACTATTTATTCCTAATTAAATTAATTAATATTTTGTTTATTTACGAAAAGTCACGTTTCAACAGTTGAAGAACTACGCTATTTACTACAATATTCTTTATTCATAAATAGAACAATCATTATTTATAAATTATTACTTTTTTGTTATTCTAACTGGAAAATGATTTCTTCTAAAATATATTAACAAATACATTTACGTTAATTCTATTCATAAATACTAAAACTTCATATAGAATAAATTATGACAAACATCTGCTTGACGTCACTTGGAAGAAGAGGCGCGCCTGAAGGTGCGGATATTAAAGAAATTCGCAGCGACTTCGGCATTCAATTAAACTCAACCAGTTTGGTATTGTCGAAACAGTAGCAAATAAGTTTTAAAACGGAAATGGACGTGGAGGAATATAGAAAGAGAGGTTAGTAAAAGTAAGAAAAAGAAGAGAAAAAGAAAAATTAAAAGTTATATAATAAAGATAAAAATAGAGATTATCCAGAAAATAGAGGAAAAAATTGAGAAACGAAATAGAATTTTAGTTATTTCTTTAATTATCTTTTTAATAAAAGTAAATAATTATTTTATACATAAACTAAAAGAAAAGAACTTTGAATTTTTTATTAGAATTTTATGTTTCACCGAGAAAAAGTTTCTTAAAATTAAAATATTCATCCATATTTAATTTTAGTCAAAGTATTTCGTCTTTATTTTAAACAAATAGGTACTCAATGAAATAAACTGTGTGTAAAAGAACATATTTCTTTTATTATATACAATATTTACCAAGTATATACCGTATCTTATAATACAATAGATAACTAATGTAGTATATTGCGTATCTGCATATCAATGCATCTAATAAGAACTTGTTTGAGTTTTTCAAGTTTGCTTTATACCATCATACGAGAAGTAAAACGTTTGCTTTGTTTATTTAAATAAAATCTATAGAGAAAATTGCTTTGTTGCAAAAAATGCAATTACATGTATAGAACATATAACAAATATATATATATATATATACATTATATATATACAGTATATATAAATAGTATATATATATATATATATATCAACCTACTCTATACGGTATATACTGTATATATATAGTGCCGAAAGCGTTTGTAAAAATGAGATGGCCAATTACAAGCTGTTTACTAAGCAGGTGATAAGGCGTGTTTTCTATCGAAGCATCTATTTCGGCTTCTATTATTTGTTGTATTGTTAAAAGAAAATCTAGTTTCGTTGTCATTTAGAGAAAAACATCTGGTAGAAACGAGCTTCTTTTGAAGTAATGCTTGAAACGGTTTTAACTAATGTGGTCAGCGGCGACGAAGTTAAGAATTAGCTTGATTAATTAGAACCTACAGGCTAAATGGAACATGCATTGCTTTAGGGTAGAACGACGCCTACTTAAATGTTGGTTTTGTTTAGCTTTGTCTGTCTTCTCCTTCCTAGAAATATCTATGGTTTTCGCAGAGTATACTAAGGACATTTTTTTAATTGAGCCTTTACAAACATATTTATTAATCTAATTTACTTATTATACACTTCTTTAAAAGAGTAAAACAACTGGCCTAAAACCAAAATTAAAGAGAGATATTCTTTCAAATTATATCTCTTATGGTCAGAACGCTTTTTTCAAAGAATGGAATGAAATGGAAATACTGAATCTTTTCGGTGTATATATTTATATATGTGTGTATTCGTGTATTACTTTAATTAATAAGAATCATAAGAAAGCTAATAGTATTCCAGTTGAGTAAAGATTGTCAAATTTTAGCAAATAAGATAGTAATTAATATGGTATTTCTTATGTTATCTTTCGTTAGTTATAAATTATTTTTGGAAATCGACCAATGACAAATATTACAGAAATATATATATATATATATAGATAAACGAAAAAAAATATCCTACTTAAACAAGTTTTTATCCATTTCTAATAGAAATTAATCTCAAATTATTCTTTTCTTATAACAAACCAGAATGAATGAAAGAATTATGATAAATGTTTCAGTAGAACTTTACTCAACCAAAATATTAAATATATTAAAAATATGATTATTAAAACCGATGATGTTACTTGAAAACTATTTATTATTTAGTCTAATCAATGGATGATTATTTCTTATGCTATAACGCCACCTTTACAACGATATAAAATACAAGTACTTTAAGGGTTAAGTTTGCAAGTTTTTCAAGTTTACACTTAACGTTTCCCAATTATCGAATAACTTTTAGACTTAAAATACTAAATAAAATGTTATGGTTTAATTCTTACTTATCGTCACAGGAAAGGAAATGGTCGATTATATCGCCGACTATCTTATTAATATTAGACAACGTAATGTCTTCCCAGATGTAAAACCAGGATACATGCGAGATTTACTACCCGAGAAAGCCCCAATTAACGGAGAAAGTTGGCAAGAGATATTTAACGACGTTGAGCGTGTCGTTATGCCTGGTGTAAGTAACCTCTGTAATAACTTGTTGTAGGTCACGAAACTGATGATAAACTTGACCAAATAATTAAATTTCTAAAAATAACTTAGAAATAGTATCTTAACTTTCTAGAAGAGCAGACAAAGAATCAATATTGTTAATTTGCAGTTTCTACCATTTAACGGATATTGAAAAAATGCATATATTTACAGAAACTTCTGTTTCTTCTTTTTTCTTTTTAAAGCTTTAAAATAATTGATTAGTAAAGATATATATAAAAAGAAAAGAAACGCATTTTTCCTACTAATTTTAGTATTAAATGTTAACAAAAGAAAAGGAAAAATGCATTATCATGTAAGTACGTTTTGCCCCTGAAAGTAGAGAGAGGCTTCAAGTGATAATTGCTACTTTTACATGTCTAAATTAGTAATGTAGAAGAAGCACATGAGCTCGAAATGTCTAAAGCATATAAACAAATAATATAAAAACACAATTTTCTACTGCAATGATTTTTGCAAAAACTAAGACAGCGACAATTCCGGCTTAAAAACATTCCGCATCTTCCGATTTCTTTAAAAAAGTGCGCAATCATTTCCCGTCCCCTAAGCTTTAAAGGAGTATGTAGATATAATTGGAAAAACGACAAATCGAGTGTTTACCATCGCGAGCGTCTCTTCAACGTCGTTTGGTTTATGTATACAAATTCTTAGGGATATTGATTTGAAAGTGATATGGCATAGTCTCCGGCTTTCGATTCATCAATTTTTTTTTTTAACAACGCTTTCTTTAATAGATTATTCTTTACTCTGCTTCTTAATTATAAAACTTTCATATGATAAGACATATATCTTTATATTGAAAATCAGCTTATTTCAATTTTTTAATACCACTCAATCGAAATGAAGCATTTTTCAGAGTATGAGCTGAAGCAGATATGTGTTTATAGTATCCAATTTTGATCCGTGCCTAATCATATTAGATATCGTAAAGATATATACAATAGTATAGAAAGACACACTAAGTCCCAATGACCTTGCTTAAACAAAGTATCTTTCTTTCCCTGAAGATAACACACTGGCAATCCCCGCATATGCATGCCTACTTTCCGGCCTTGAACTCGTTTCCTTCACTACTCGGAGACATGCTGGCCGATGCAATTGGTTGTTTGGGCTTTACTTGGGTAGGATTTTTTAATTGAAACCTGTTATACGCCGCTTCTAAGTATTAAATATATTGTAAATATACAAATTTTTAACTAAAGGCATCTAGCCCTGCTTGTACTGAATTGGAAATTATTGTTATGGATTGGCTAGCAAAAATGATCGGGTTACCATCAGAATTTTGGCATTGTACAAATTCAAAGAAGAATGTTGTAGAGAAAATGGGAGGTGGTGTAATTCAAACAACCGCTAGTGAAGCTACTTTTGTTAGCCTCCTAGCTGCTAGGACATCAGCTATCAATAGGATGAAACAAGTTTGTAAGATGAAAAGTATCGAAGTAGATATTGCAGATATCAACTCAAGATTGGTAGCATATTGCTCTGATCAGGTAAGTTTTGACGTTTATCAATAGAATTTGAATTATATTTAGCAACAAAGTTCTGTGCTAAAATTTGAATTAATTTGTTCTAAAGCGATTTCTAATTAAAGAAAGAGAAAAAGAGAAATTATTAGTTTCCTTATACTATCTAAAAATTAATTTATATCGCCTCAGCTATATATTATTTAATTGTTTATTCCATTGATCACCTCCTTCAGTAAGTTATTTCCGGCGTTCGATAATTAGATTAAAGATCATGGAGGTGACATCTCAATGTCGAGTGACAACGTCATCATTCCCTTTCGATTTCACTTTAAGAGTTCTATAAAACCTTTAATTATATTTTGTTTGTCTTTTGAAAAAACTATCCATTCGGTTTAATTTGTTTAATAGTTATATTAGCTACCAAACTAAAATCGAATGAAGAAAAATAACTCTTATCTGTCTAAAAAGGGATAAAATAATTTATTTTCAGGCTCATTCATCTGTTGAAAAAGCAAGTCTTATTGGACTTGTAACTCTTCGACTGCTTAAAACCAAAGATGATCTCTCGCTGGACACTGATCATTTGAAAGAAGTGATTAGAGAAGATGTTCAAGACGGTCTTATACCTTTCTTTGTGAGTATATCTTATAGAGAATATTTTAACATTAAATTGTTTAAATAATTAAAATTTCAGTTATGTGCAACTTTAGGAACAACAGGAGCTTGTGCATTTGACAATTTGGAACTTATCGGACCAATATGTTAAACATTTTTTGTAATCATATAAATTATACAGTTTCTAAATTGGTTCTTTACAGGTGAAAAGGAGCAAATATGGTTGCATATTGATGCTGCTTACGCAGGCTCAGCATTTGTTTGCCCTGAATATCGTCACTTTATGAAAGGAATTCAATTTGCGTCTTCCTTTGCGTTTAATCCATCGAAATGGTTAATGGTACATTTTGATTGTACTGCGATGTGGTAAGAAAATATAAACATAGACTTTGAACTGAACGAACATGATTTTATGCATCGTTTAATTATATTTAAAGGGTTAAAGATAGTGGTGCACTTCATAGAACATTCAATGTTGAACCTTTATATCTGAAGCATGAAAATATGGGTTTGTATTCATTTTTAAATTAAAATAAAGGAAATTTTAATCATCTTTCTTTTTCTCCGTGTCTTGTTCTCCTTATTATAATATGAAAAACAGGTGCAGCTATTGACTTTATGGTAAGTTTTTTTTAAGCAGAGGCCAAATTATCTTATGAGTAACGTATAAAAATATTTTGAAAGCATTGGCAAATTCCGCTGAGTAAAAGATTCCGATCTTTGAAGCTGTGGTTCGTACTCAGAAGCTTCGGTGTCTCTGGACTTCAAAAGCACATTCGCCAGGTGACTAAAGAAAAGAAGAGAGAAAGAAACTCTCATATTTCCTTCTTAAAAATAAATAATTACTCTTATTGCTTCAATTAAATAGTTGTTTACTTTTGTGTAATGAAACTATATGTTTAGGGCGTACGACTAGCTAAACTCTTCGAGAAGTTGTTGTTAGAGGATGGAAGATTCGAAATACCAGCTAAAAGACATCTTGGTATGGTTGTATTCAGATTAAAAGTAAGTTTAGCTATATTCCAAAATCTTCTTAAAAGACATCTTTTTAGAATTAAATAGAAAATCTTAACAGAAAAATATTTAATATCATATTTGCCCTTTTCCTCCAATGATTAGGTGGTAGATACCCTATCAATTACGTGACATTTCCTAAGTCGCATTGAGTCACGTGACTGGTTATATAAGAGAAATATTTATTCCTTATTTAATTTATCTATTGTTTCTAGGGTGAAAATGAGCTGACAGAGAGATTGTTGAAGAAGTTGAACGGATCTGGAAAAATTCATATGGTTCCGGCGTCTTTTAAGGAAACTTATGTAATCAGATTTACAGTAACATCTCAATTCAGTAGCGAAGAGGATATTAGAAGAGACTTCAAAATTATTCAAGAAAAGGCTAAGAGTATTCTTAACGAAGCAACTTTGCCAGTTACAGATGAAGTTGAAGAGGAGAAACCAGAAACAGAGGTTCTGGAGAGAAAGAGGCCTATAAGTGCTCGTGGTGAAATACGTAAAGAGGCACTTAGAAATAGAAGAGACGAGTTTGGTCTTAGTTTGATGCTATCTAACGTTCCAATGTCACCAAAATTTGTCAATGGATCATTTTTGGCCTTATTCGACCTACAACAGGAAACTGTTGCTGAATACGCCAAGCTGTTTAGACGTCGACCGTCTACGACTTCAGGTCTAAAGAATCGGCATCTGCTGGCCTGGACGCCTCGAAATATGCGCTTACAGGATGGCAATAAAAAGTTTAGTAGTTTTGACTCGGTTTTACCTACAGAAAAAGCCGTTAAGCCGTTGAGACATAGGAACGACTCCCTCGATTCGAAAATTGAAAAAATATTCGAATCATTCGATTCCAGTTCAGATCTAACTGCTGACGAACCGGACATGGAAAGTAACGGTCACGTGACTAGGTGCGACAGATGCGGTCATCTGGTGGCGAATTGTAACAAAGCTGCTGAGTGTCGAGTCGATGGAGAAATATAAATAGAAAAATAGAATGAAGGAAAAAGAGAAAAAAAGTGAAAAACAAAGAAAAAGAGAAATTTTAATGGTCTTATTTTAAGTGTTTTGTAATAATAATAATTATCCCCTGAAAAGGAAATCCCATTTAAATCCATATAGTTATAATAATATCCAAAATTTAATAATAATAATAATAATAATGATAATAATAATGATAATACTTTTTTCATCTATTTATGCTAATATAATTCATAAATTAGAGAGAAATATTGAAGAAGTTGTACCACGAAGTAATATTAATATATATATATACATATGTATATACATATATAAACTAACGTTTTAAGGTGAGTGTGGGCGTTTACATAATGAAATGAATATTTATTAATTGAATACAAACTAACCTTCATCGTGTTGTATTATGGATTATACGGATATTTATTATTATGATTATAACTAAATACACACATATATATATGTGTGTGTGTGTTATTTCGATATTCTTTATTATTAATATTTTATATTTTTACATTGAATTATCAGACAGAAGCAATCCTGACTTAACAAGCTTTCTTTTATTTATTTCGTCGTTATTACTATTATATCTTTATTCAAAAAAAGAATTTCTCTTTCTCTACCTCTTAATGATTTATTGAAAATCTATTTAATCTTCTATAGATCATGTATGCAAAGTTAAAGTTCATTGATAATATAACCTTACACTATCTAAGTCGCTTCATTCGGGAATAACAGAGCATAACCCCCAAGCGAAATCTAGACAGAATTGAAGTCCTTTCTTTTTACTTTCAACTGCTACCCTTAACAAGAGTTTGCTGTTTGCTAGTTACAAATATCAGAGATAAACGTCATCCATTCTTTAGTCTACAGTAACCTTATCTTTACAATCTAATTGATTTTTGTAAATAGATCCTTTGATTTTATCCCTTTTGTACAATATCTTTTATTAATTGTGAGAGGTAGATTCTAAGAACAATTCAAAATCCAATTTTTATGATTTTATTACCGATAAGCTAAATAATCTCTGCTTTATCTTCTTATGCAACTCGTTTACTAATCCCTTAGGTTGTTATTATGAGTTACAATTTGGTTAATATCGGTCAGTACAGTAGGATACCATAGCCGAATTTTTTGTATCTAAATATTAGAAAAATGAGTCATTAATAGATTAATAATTGAAACTTTTCCACGCTCTCATATTAAATCCCTTCAAGACTTCTTATTAAATGGCAATTAGCCAAACTTATTCAAACCGACTTGAACAAAGAAATATTATTTAACTAAGCGAACTAAGGAATGATAAGAGCGTATTAAGTTATTTCTTGATTTAAAGATTTATTCCAAAATTATAGATTATCGTTATTATTAAATATATGAATGTGTATGTGTGTGAAAGTATATACAGCATAGATTAAATTATAAAATATAAAAATACACAGTATATACATTTACAGCATATACAGTATATATATATTAAAACTCAAAAGTCATACTGTCGTCTGTGTTTTTTTTTTGCTTTACCTCTTTTAAAACCGAAGAGGAGAAATAAACAAAATAGGAATTATGTTAACGCCAGTCTCTATTTTTAAACCTTCGTAAAAGTATGAATGGTTAGAATAAATATTGTTTTTTTTATATCTTCTCGTGTTTAGCTTCGTATTTATAAGATATTTAAATGCATGCATATATCTTTCTCTTTCATACCATTGTTTTATCTTAAATTTTTTAATTGTTATGCTTCAAAAAATTCAAGTTTTTCTTGGGAAGCTAATTTTTAATAATTTCAATAATTCAACTTTTCTCTCTTCTTCGGATATTGCCGCCAGCATTTGCCATTGTTTTAAATTTTCCCTATTAAATTTAAACAATTATATTTATACAGTATATAGATATTTATATTTTTAATATATTTGTTGTTTTGTCTTACTTTGCTCCAGTAACTATGGGTAAAGCATCAGGGAATATTTCAGTTATTAATTCGTAGCATGGCAAACAAATGCCAACGAGAAATCCAACTTCTAATTGGGGAAGTTCATAATACTTTTCGCGATCCATCATTGTAATGGTTCCCTCCTCCTTCTTCTTTTCGTCATCACCCTTTTACGATTAAAAATTATTGAACTATTAATAACTCAAAGTAAAATTTGAATAATCAAAAAATGAAACAATACACTAAATTAAAAAGCATTCAATGGTTCGTTAACGTTTATTTATATTTAATTCGTAATAAAGATTGAATATCTATCTGCTAGAAAGAATTTAATAAAACCACAATAAAAGAAAGAAGTTATATTACATCACGTTACTAGTCTAAATGAATTCTCTTTAAAAAAAAAAGAAAAAAAGTTCTAGAATGGTAAGGGAGAAATAATTATGTTATTGCAATTGCGCCATCTACCGTTTATCAATTTTCTAAAATAGCACATAAACATTCATGTTAAACCTTACCTACATACGTAAGTAGAAGAATAACATATACTTTAAATTTTGATAAATGCGTATAAAGGTAATAAGTACTATTAAAGAAATATGATGATGATCAAATGGCTTTGCAAACATAAGATAATTACGTAAATTAACTACTAAAGTAGAGAGTAGATAGCTAACTCTGCTTGATAAATTTCATTAAAGTGGGACATAGAGCTAATAATTATGATTTTAGAAATCAGTGTCGATTGAAACGTTTAGGAATTAGAAAAGTTTATTATCATAAACATTTTTAATAAATATTTATGATATGCATTTTTAAGCTGAAAAACAAAAATCTCTTTGTTTCTCTTAAAAGAAGAGAAATTGTTTACAAGGCAAAAAATGAAACTTTATTGTTTTGTTTCATTTAAAAATATAAGGCAAAAGGCTTTTTCGTTCGGTTTTTTTTTTTTGGAAAAAAGAAAAGAAAAAATAAGAAAAAAAGATATATATATGTTAAATTGTGCTAAAAACCATTTAAGCACCTGTTGCCAAAATTCTTCCATTATAACATTTACTAATTTCAATTGAAGATTCCAAGGTTTGTACATACTGCACAAATCAGATGCGGTCATGCTTATTGCCATAAGCAAAAGGCTGCGCAATCACATTTGAAGATTAGAAATATGAAAAAAAAACCGATTAATCGCGGCGTCGCTCAGCATCTAACAACACTAACAAAATAGGACAGCATGCTCGGAAAAAATCACATGACATATTGCATATTGTAATTAGATTTGTTTTTGCGATTTCTAACCTGTTCCCAAAACTCTTCATATAATTCTTTCACTTGTTCTGCATGAATGTCCCAAGGTTTCATATTGGCACATAAATCACAAGATGTCATTGTGATAGCCAATACCAGTTTGCTGGATAGTATATGATATTTACAAAGTATATTTAAATGATGATGATAATATATATATATGTATAAATATATACAGTATATGTATATAATATAAATATCTGAGATCTATTAAAATATGATTAAATATAAAACGAGATGCTGAGCAAATATGCGCTTTTTATACAAGTATTGTAAACTAACCGACAATTTTCATTTTGCCAAGAAAATGTTCCTTCGTCAATGTTGTTCCTTAATTGGGATTTATTTGGAAAGAACAGTGCTAAGTCTGTAGCTAAGATACAATGCTTTATATTTGATAAAATTTGTCTGTACTCGTCCGATGATAAAGTATTGAATATATTATGGCCGTCATGCTGTAATTGCAAAAAAATAAAGTAAATAAAAGACATTTCTATATAAAATACATTTTAGCTCGGAATTTATTTTAAGTCGAATTTTGCAAATACCAAAGATATTATATCAATATAATCGGTCGTAAAACTAAAGCATACTTGTTATATCTGCCTTTTTCTCGCTTTTCATAAAAACTACACTTTTATTTTTTATTACAGCCGAAAAGGAAATAAGATAGAATTCAAATGATACTCGAACTGAAGCCCGTGAAAAAAAAGGCTTTTATTTCAATTTTATCTACACTATAGTCTGTTCCAATTGTTTTTTAGAGTACATTTTTTAATATGTATCCTCAGTGTAAAGTAATACGCCGCTATATCTTTTGTATACGTTGTTTTTTTTCCGTATAGTGTATATACACAGTACACACGTAGATATATAAAAATGGAAGATATACAGTATATATATATATATGTATATGTATACAGTATTTTTTCTATATCTAATATTTGTACAGTTTATTGAATAATTGTAAATACCTGTAAAATGGCGACAGTTTGATTGAAATGGTGATGCTCCATTGTTGAAGTACTGTATATGGCTGCTAATGGGGAAGAACTTTTGACCATAAACGAATTGGTTTTACCTCGATGATCTAAATCATGACATAGTGAACCAACAAACAAACCGATTTTCTGTAATAATAATGTCAAGGACGATAGTTGAATAGATAAAAAAGAAAATTTTTGAGTTATTATACTTCAATCAAAGTAAATTGATTATTCGTATTCTTCAAAATCGTATACATTGCATGGGCGACACTAAATGCGTGCTCCCAATTGTGATAAGGTACATTTCTGTAGTTTTTCCTGACAGTTAAGGTAAATCTCATGAGTGTTTTCGCATCGAATCTATAGGGAGGGAAGGAAGAGAGGATTAAAAGAGCCATTAATCAATTTATTATAGTGTCATTTATCAAAGAATGATTCAGAAATGTAGATCTAATTAGTTTGTGATTTGTGAATTATTGGCAACAAAATCTTTAAAATATATACCACAAATAGAAAAGCATAAATGAATTTTTTTGATAGCCGCCTTTCATTCTCTATTCCTCGCCTAAGCAAGGAAAATAATCTCTAACTTACATTCGCACTCTCTCTCTCTCTCTCTATATATATATATATATTTATCTAGCTAGCTCTATCCTTATCTTTGTCCCTCCCTCTATCTCCCTCCTCCGTCTTGTTCTTTTAATATTTTGTTCCGTCTCCACATACTAAGTATTCATTTATTGTATTAATGTGATGACGTACACTCGTTTCTATTTACCTTCCATTATTAGTCTTGTGTACAAATATGAATAGCAATAAGAAAAAATTATACTTACGTCGCCATTCCAAACAAATCATTGAACATGTAATAAACGTAAAGCGGCTTATTATCCAAAGACCAAGGTGAAAAATCGAATTTTGTAATATTTTCACATTTTTCTGGAAGTGGGACATCAGCCAACCTATTCACTTCGTCTTCAACAGCTTGAGAATGATAACTTAAAACTTCTAAAGCAACTTTATACTTTTGCTCTGATCTTCTAATTTTATCATATAACTTGGCATGATACAAAGCTAAGCCGCAATAAATTCCGAAACTTTCAAAAGCCTCCTCGTCGTCTTTTGTAAATATTCCATTCGATTTGTTCAGCATTTGAACCACTCCGATAATTCTGTTTTTATCAACATTATTTACGAATTAATAGACAAGAAATAAGATTGAAATTAATTACTTAAAAATATCTACTTAAAATCGATAATAATTGCATTTTTGTTATCTAATCTATACAAAAGATTGTTCCATTTGTAAGAGATAGCTCTAAGGCGTGGCTAAATATCGTTTTAACTTGAAAAGAAAATAACAGATAGAAAGAAGAGTAGGGAGGAGACTTAAACTTATGTTTTTTATTTCTAAAATCTATTAATAATGTAATTAAACAGTTAAAGTGTATGGATAATTTAACACTGTAATTAAGCTTTTGAGGGTGTAAACTAATCTAATATTCCATTCTGGAAATTATTGATAAAGTCTAAAGAAAGATAATGTAATTTGTTACCAAAAATATTACTTATACTTATAAAAAAATCGTCTTCAATGACAACAACGTTAAATTAAAGCGAATACCAGCTAAAAGCATTTTATCAATACTTCCGCATTATAAGTATTTTTTTATAGAAAAACTCAAACTGACTGTCTTTGAAGGTGAATAGAGGCTCCTATACTTTTATACGCATATATAATATATGCATATACGTAAATTGTGTACGCATATATAGCCTTGTATTCTTTGTACTAGAGTAGGTATTGTAGGTATTGAGTTGAATGCCTTTTCATATGTATTATATGTAAAAGTATATAGATAGTGTATGAAAATGATCGCTATGCCTATGAAATGTATTTATCGCTGTATAGTATCTTTAGATGTATTCTATATCTTATATACTAATATATGTATATATATATATATATATATATTATACCCCGCGTGTAAAATTAACAGGTGTATCTAATGGATAAGTAATCTCTTGTGCATTTCAAGAAAACGGTTGATCTTGGTTCAAAAGCATAAGTCAATAAGAATATATAAAATTTAGGCAAGGGTAAATACTGTAGAAATATTTAACCCAATTAATCAACATTATCGCATGATTTTGTGATAAGCCCTGTCGTAGCTAAGACCTACTTTAAAACAGGAACGTTGCATTGACAAGCAGTAGCCACTCTTATAATGTTGATAATCTTATCAACTAGATACTCTCTCCCTCAACAGTTTCTTTAACTGTAAGTTCTTTGTAAAGCATAGACTCTTTGATAGCCATATACCAAATGAAACAAGCTCATAATTCTATCAAAGATATTAATGTTAACTTTACAGAATCATTCTACTGTTGCCTTACTTTTAGGAGAGAAATGATATTTTCTTCAAAGAAAGAAAACAATATATTCATACATTTCTCTATTAAGTTATTTAAGCTATTCATTTTAAAACCTAAAATGGGTTTTACAGCACTAACACAATCTCAGATAGGCAATGTCTATATTGGTGTGAATGTGATATTGTTTTATGAGAGATCTCACAGAGAGCATCTATTATTTTCACTATTTTGAAAGTAAGAGGAGAGTCATAACTTGAAATAGTCTTTTGTGTGAGATTTTAGAGCTCACATATGTAATGTTTAAGGGGCATATATTCTGTATATATATATAGACTCTATATATAAAGGAAAACAATCAAATGCTACTATGAATAAATACTTTACGTACTATATTTAAAAGCTAAAAACTTTTTCAATGTTTCTTATATAAGCTATATATAGAACATTTGTTATATATAAGGTATCTATTCATATTTAAAACTACCTTCATTCCTTTACCAGTTTATGGATCAAAAACCTTTTATCTCTAACGTTATAGTTTGACGCATTTGATTAATTTACCTATTAAAATTCTTTCAAAGAGAGCTGACTCAAGCATGCTTTTTCTATTCCATTACTATTTTTAATATGACTATTAATTTAATAGATTATCTATTCAATTATTTCTTTTTACTTAGTACTTTGTATCAGTTATCCTTATTTGTCTGTTTCCTTTCTCTCTTACTTTGAATATCAATAACAAATGAATGTTAGGGTAACTTACGTTTTCTTCAATTTTATTGGCATACACAAAATTGTTTTAGTTGTATAACCAGTTTGAATATCGACTTGTCTATTAAATCTCTCATCGCTGTAGGCATCGTGGATATTTACAGTTTCACCAGTTGTAGCAACGTAGCCAGCAACGCCTTTGTCCATTGGAAATCTGTATTAGAATTATGAGATTGATAGATTTATTCCCTATACGATTTGTTTCTAGATATAAAGCTAGGAAAGAGCTTGATTTAGAAAATTAAATAAAAATCACTAAGTAAAAATATTTATTCCTAAGAAAGAATTGATGTTAGCTTTGGCCAGTGCAAGACAATAGTACTGGTCGACCTTATTTCCTTTTGAATGGAGAGTGCAGTAGATTCCTTTTCGTCTGTACCCATATCGAATACTCTGGCATATAGTTGTCTGCTTTTATTATCCAATAAAAATAATGCCGTCCTGTCGGCTTGAACGAGTTTTTTGGCAAAATCCTGCAAATTTGCGGTGAGGTTAAGTGCAATTAAAAAGAATTCCAAAAATTAAGTGATTAGATCGTTATATAGGAATCTTTAATCGTCTTTTTCATTTCTATAGTATTCATTAATTATGTAGTTAATTAATTCTAGTTTGTATTGCATATAGGATGCCAGATATTTTCCTTTTTGTTACTTACTATTAAAAACTATTTATCAATGAAAGGTTTTGTAAGTTAAAGTACGATAAATTAGTCAATAGAAGAGAAAAGAGGTGAAGATAAATGTAAAGGACAAGAAACTGGAAAGAAAGAGAGAAAGAGAGAGAGAGAGAATAACTAAATTGAACAAGTGAGATAAAGGCGAGAAGCACAAATCAGAAGAGAATAAGGGGAAGTAGCATTCGTCAAAGTTCTTTAAAATGTGTACAGACAGAAAAAATTTAGAAAACTGGCAAATTAAGCATTGGACTAAAATTTCGTGTACGTTTGTTAATTAATTTGTTAAAAACTAGTGTGTAATTTAAAAATAGACTCGTCTGTAAACATCAGTCGTGTAAATTATTCTCTTTTTTTTATTTCTCTCCCGTTTCCTCTTATATAATATTGTCTTAATAAGTATACAATGAAGAGTAAAAGGAATGAGAAAATATATTAAAGTTACAGATAGAAATACAATTTCAAAGTAATATTTTATAAATGAAAGAAATATGATGGATAGAAAATTGATAAAACAAGTTGTCCAAAAAGAATTATATAAATTAGAATTGAACCTAAATCGTGCATGCAAACCTGACTTCTTTTCTGCTGACAGTTGAAAATTCAGTATCGAAAACACGCGCATATAACTGCTTGTTGGTTTGATCAACGAGGAAAAGAGACGCCCTATCTGCGTTTACTAGAAACTGGGCTAATTTCTGAATAACTTTCACTTAAATTTTTCATAAAAATTTTATAAGAATAAGCCTTACTCACCATTATCTTCATGATTACTGTATCCATGGAAATATCTTGAAATATAGATCTGTTTAAATTATAAGCAAAAGAAAAAAAACGTTTAATTATGATTGCGATCTATTGATCATTAAAAGTTTATCCTTAAGAGCTTACTTGGCAACACTTAAAAGGAATTCGTTCAATTTTCTCTGTCTCGTCATATTGTAGTACATCTGTTAGCAGATTAAATACATTAGATCTTAATACATAATTGATGAAACAACACTAGAAAGCAGCAGACAACATAATTAATCAATAAAATAGATGGATGTAGATGTCTAGAGAAAAAAAATAATAATTTTGTTTTATTAATAAAATAATCGCAATCAAACTTCATAATAATAATAATGATAATGATAATAAAAAGAATAAATAAAACAAAGTAAGAGAGAAACGAAACTAATACGAAGATGAGGGGAAAAAAATAACAAAACAACAGTAATAAAAGTTAGTATTACGACGCCAATTTGATCATCAAAATGAAATAAAAAAAGAATTTTTTATATAAAAGATATATAAAATATTTTTTTTACCAAAAACAAAAAATATTTTCGAGAATCTTTTTTTTTTAAAAAACAAAAAAAAGGAAATATTTATAAAAATAAAAAAAAGAAGAAGAGATCTATTTTTTTTTTAAAATAAAATAAAAGTGTACATTGCACAAATTGGGTCAAACCTGAGCAAAATTCACAACTAATTCTCCCCAAACTGTTAATTCTCCCGTTATCTAAAAAAATTAGTTAAACACAAAAAAAACTTAGCATTAAAATAATTAGAAAATTAGTATTGTTAAAATGGCTTTGAAGCTAAGACTATGGAACAATTGAAGATAACTAGGCAATTATTTCATGGCGAATAAAATAAAATTAAATTTTCTATTAAAGAAAATTAAATTAATTCACACTTTTAATTTTTTTTTATTGTCCTTTTATAATTGCCTAAAAATCTCTATAGCGCCTTTTTTATAAGCACGATATCATACCTTTTGACACGGTAGAAGGTAATTTAAATGCGTTAATAATATTTCTCCTGACTGATTTTATATAAAAGAAGGTAAAAGAAATAGTAAAAAAACTTTTCATATATATATATAATTACATATAAATATCCAAATGTCTCATATTAATTTTTATACATATATATATATAGAATACATATTTTTATGTTTCTTTTATATATAAAGTACAATATTCACCTCTTGTTCGTCCTCATTAAATGGTGTATGCCCAACAGTCCTGTATAATTCAATGACACCCAATAACTCTTCCGTGTCCAAATGAATAATAGGAAAGGCGAGAACAGATTGAGCACTTCCTCCATCATTTGCCGGACCTAATCCTTCAGGATATCTATCATCCTAGATAAAAAGTAATTCGTAATAATTTATAATTGTCAACGTATCATGAAAATCGTTAAATTCCATTGTAATACTAACTATAATATGCTATCTCTATTTTATATTGAAAAGAGAGACAATAGACTATTAAATAATACTATATAAACAACTAAAAACGGAAAAGGATGAATATATATGCTTTAAGAAAAAGTACGAAATCCGATAACTTACTTAAAGAAAAAAAATAAGAATCCTATTATAGCTAAAAATGATTAATCTATTAGATTAACAAAAATATATTTACCCCAAGAATTTCATCAACCCTCGTTGTTTTCCTTACATGAGCAACAAAGGCGGCCAGACAACTTCCTTCGCCAACGTCTCGGACCAAAGGAGAAACCGATCGATCACTATTATTACGCAATAGAATTAGAGGAAGAGAGATAGATAAATATATAGATGGATAGATAGATAGATGATTAGATAGATAGACGGCTATATAGATAGATGGTTAGATAGAGCGGAAGAGAGTAAAAGAAAGAGAGAGAGAGAGAGTAGGAGGGATGGAATGAAAGATAAAAAACAAATAAGATATATATATATATATATGCAGAGAGAAAGAGAGAGAGTGATGAAAAAAGAACATTTCAAATAATGTAAAAGCAGAAAAAGTAAAATATATAAACAATGAAAAAGTAGTAAATAACCTGAATTTTTCAGTAAAGTAATATATCTGGTTAGTGCTGCTATCGCACATGTACAAATTTCCTCCATCTGCGTTGATTGCTGTTTCCATGTATAATACATTTATAATTTATTAATTATGAATTATTTAGACATTTTACCTTTAGCTACAGTTTGAGATAATTCGTATAAAAGGAAGGCTTGATTAGGCTGTTGCCAGATATTTTTTGTTAATTGAGCTAAATGTTGGCATTTTTCGACCTGTATAAGAATTTAATAGTATGGACAGGATATAAAAAAATAATAATCAATCTTTCTTTTCGTGATGAAACCTTTTCCGTATCTTCGAGAGAACTTTCATTTCCAGAAGTATTTTTGTCTTTTTCTGCATTGTAATCTTCTAGTAAAATAACAAAGACATCATTCATATTAATATATGTATGTGTTGTAAATTGTGAAAATAAATTACCGTTGATTTGTCTATAACGTTTTTTAACCCAATTTTCAACTATATCCGGTGGTACATGTCGAAAAATATATTTTTCTAAAAATTCCGGATGCTCCTTCAAGTAAATTTTTACTGAATCTTCGTTCATTTCTGTATAATAACAAAAATTAATTGATTAAATTTACAAGTAAGAATTTTGATCCTTTGATGAAATTAATGAATCAATTGAACAATCGATAATCAAGTATTTCTCCATTCAGGAGAGATTTCTAGCTAAGCAATATTGGATTTATGTTAATTAGTTTGATTGATTCATTTTTCTTAGTAATTTAATTGAAATTTTAATTAAAAACGTTATGACCAACTCTATTGATTTCAACTTGGGTTTCGGAATATTTTATACGCGACCGTAGAGTAAAATGTTTCGTTTTATCCGTCACTAGCTAAGGCCGAATATTTTATGCCGGACAAGGACGATTGTTCACTATAGCGATGAATTTGTCATACTAATCTTTGATAATTCGCTAGTAGATTAAAAGGCCTATTTTTTTTTTAAATGTAAAAACACTTAACTTCTCTATACATGCTTAGCGCTAATATACAAACACTTTCCCGCTAAGTTCTTGTTTAAGTTAAGTATTTAATTCAGTACATTGAATTATACCGAAAGTTTAAATAACTTAATAGTGGAAAACGAAAGAGAATGTGAGAAGAAAATAGAGATTTTTAAAAAGTTAGAAAGGGTAAGCGTATTATTATTTCTTTTTATTAAAAATATCATGTTAATCAATCTACGCCTCTATCCATCTTTATTAATATAAAGAATGTTGCGGGATAGGGGTGCGGGCGCAGGGGTAAGAGGGAAACTAATAAGATATTTTAGGAACGAAATAGCTGTCGGTATTTTTGGAAAGGAAAAAGAAGTATTGTTGAAAAGTTCTGTTAGAAGACGAGAACAAGGGAGAGAAAGAGAGAGAGGCGTGGGGAGGAGAAGGAAAAAAAGAAAAGTAATCACTTTACTATACACCTCCATTTAAATGGATTGAAAACATATAAAATCAATTCATTAAATAACGATATTTTAAAGATATTTTAAAAAGATTAAAATGTTCTCTTTTCCTAGTTAATTGATTTATAAAAAATGATGACATATAAAACTGTCGAGGAACCTGTAAAAGCTCTTAAAATATTTGTCTAGGCTCTCTGTCTTAAGCCTAGATGACTGTAAATATAATCAATAACTTTTCATTACAAACAACAATGTAAAAAAAGAAACTACAAGTAGAATAAGCATAAAAAAATTGAGAGTGAGAGAGACAGAGAGAAGAAAAAAACGAAAGAAAAAGAGAAAAAAAAAAAGGAGTACAAAAGAAAACTTGCACCTTACCAACTCTCTTTTAATAAAAGAAACGCAAAAGTAAAGTCACCAAGACACTCTAATCCCTTCTTCAAAACATATTTTCACTAAAATTGAATTGTCCATTCAACGAATAGGTCTGGTTGTTGAAAATATCTAACGTATGTTACATATATGTTATTACAGATACATATATGTAGTTGTAATATCTAACTAGGTATATTTGCGAAGATAAAAAAGACACAAGTTGGGATAATAACAATCTCTGCTAGCTTTTATCTACAGAGCACTTGATATCTGATAGCTAGTAATTTTTCACAAGGCATTTTTAGGATACACAGTAAGAGAGAGTTAGTCTTTCTACTTTGCTAATTACACCTAACTTTGCCCTAAACTGTCGTTGAATGTTGAAAAAGAGATTATTCCATTACAAAAGAATATTTCACTCACCTCTATTCGAATTGTGTAGGCCATTCAGCGGTTGACCTGAATGTATTGCTCCGGATTAGACAAGGATTAATAAAAGAAATTAAAAATAAAGAAAAGAGAAGAAATAGAAGAAAACCTTCAGATTTTCTTCTTTATAGAAAATTTATATATTATCAATAAAGAAACTATTTAATTGATATGAGATAAGAGTTAGTCGCTTATTAATTTTTACTACTACCGTATGTTTTTCAAATTGTGATCAAACTATATATTTAACCGAATGTCAATAAACAGGTGCTAAATCACAACGTCAGGTTAGAGCTCAGTAGCATAGTCGATATTGAATAGGTTGATATATGATTAGTTAAAGTCATTACAGTTTTATAAAAATAATACAATTGTGCAGATAAACATATTCCTCTATTATTAAGATATTATCAATATCATATATATATATATATATATTATTTATTACTAAGAGCGAATACTCTGTTTTGCACAGTTTTTCTTATAAACAGCATATCTACTTGCATATATACTCTATATAACAGAGTTTAATTGTAAATATAGCTTGTATTTTTAACCAACCGTTTTACGATGATATTAATAAGTTTAATAGATTAATTTATCATCAAAAGTCCTTTTCTTTTAGAAACAAACACCATTCGTCTTATAAGATATACTTCCAAAGGCTAGCATGTGGTATTGTAATTTTTCGAACACGTTGATTAATTAAGTACTTAATAAATAGGCCTAGATTGCATTTAAGTATGTCTTTGCTATTAGAAATTTTATTTTTTACGGCTTTACCTTAATCTTGATTATAGAATATATTGAGTTATTCAAAATTGCAAAACTGGAAAAATTCAATTGTTATAAAAGAAAGATGAAAGGCCGCCTACTCATTAACCTTGCGTACAGATTATTAAATTAGTGGAAAGAAAATTAATCTATTCTTATGGCAACAACGAAAAATGTCTATAAGAAAACTTAGTTATATATATATATATAGATATAATAGCTAAATTGCCAAGGGTTCTTCTTTAAGAAATATACTATTATTCGTATAACCCTTTAAATTCCCTTTATCCTCTATTTTTCTTTCTTTCTGTTTGTTTTTTATTTTTTAACTACCCCCTTCATAAATTTTTGGTGTGTTTTCGTCTATCGTCTATTCAATTTTTACTATTTTCATTTGTTTTTTAATGCTAAAAAAAACGAAATAATAATAATAAAAACAACAACAACATACAAAATAGTCTATGTTTTTTAATTCTACTTTGTTAGCCTTTGTAAACTTTTCTTTTAATACAAACAACGTATGGCTTAAAAGTAAAAGTAAACTTTTGAAAATCTCCATCAACAAATGAGAAAAGAAATACTGACACGTTAACACGTTAGCTTATCCTTACACTATTATTAAATAAGCTATGACGCAACGAAGAGAAAATATATATATATATACTAATATATATTTATATGAAAGTATATCTAAGACATAATTTATTGAAAGATTAAAATATTATATAAATAAATAACATTTATTTTTTATTATACTATTTAAATAATAATTCAAGATTGACCTGTTTTTTTTTCTTTTCTTTTGCTGTTAGCTTTTTTTACCGATTGTTATACTTAGTTGATTTTTAACGCAGATATTAACCAATCGTTACAAAACCTACAAATATAATGTTCTGTTGAGAGGTTTTAGGCATTTAGTTTACAGTATTTTTACCCCCCTTAAAGGTAAAAATAGGAACAATACATTGAGGTGACGTAAATGCTTTTAATTTCGTTTCCTTATCTGACAGGATATGAATGAGTTTGTGTGAAATTACAAGTGTCGATATTAAGCCTTTCTATCACTCGTCATAACAATTTTCCAACTTGATTTCCAACCAAAAATAAATTAACCTTTTAACTACGATTTCCTTTGCTTTACTTTCTCTTCCATTCTCATTTTTACCTACACTTTCTATCCATTTTAACAATTTGTATGGCTTATTTGCCTGTTAAATTTTGACTAAACTTTAATCTTTATTAAGAAAGCTACCATTAACGAAATTAAGACAGCTAGGTCTACAAAAGATATCCACTCACTAAATGGAGGGATTAATTAGGGCAAGACACAATCAGTGAACTGATTTTCAGACAGTTTTTGTAAAAAAAAATAATAAAAAACTATTAAATTTCTACTTATCAAATGGTATCAGGTATGTAATTCTATTAAAAGGTGTACACTAAAAGAATTCAATTCTTTTTTGTTGTCTAAAATATGATTTGACATTCGGTGTTAAGTTGAAAATAGTAAGTAAATTTGTATATTCCTATCGAAAAGCAGCTTTTCAGGCTTTATAAGTTACGTAAAATTACTTAATGCGTTCAATCGTAACAAAACTTTGCGATCGTATTTAAATTAGTTTTAAAAGAGAATAAACTGATGCTAAAAACTTACCAGTTACCATCATATCATTATTCCTCCTAGGCGATCTTGGATTTAGCACTGGTCCTGGTCCAGGCGATGTTACGCCCGGGCTTACCGCCCCTCTCCTAGCAGCACCCGGAAGAGGGGGTAATCTTCTAGTATGCATTTGTCTTGACGGACTACTCATCAGCAATGACACTACTTCAACACGGGCGTCATGGAAACGAGAAAATGGTCGCCTAGCAACGTATAAATTTTTTTGTGCTTTATTGAATCACCTGCTGCATCTTAGATGGCGTTTGCAAGCAAAACGATTATCTTCTATTTTTCCACAGCACAAAATAAACAGATTAAGTAAGTTTCCGGTTAGAATATTGCTCAAAAGGAGAAAACAGAAGAAAACGGAAAAAATGAATAATTAAAGGGAGAAAGAACAATCTGCGGGAAAGGGAGAAAAATCGCTGCATACATCAAGAATTATTGATCAATAAAGGAAAAAGGCGCCACACACAGCAATATTGGCGTAAGCAAGTTATTTAAAGCGAAGACAACTTAAAAGCTCAATTTTCTCCTTACCTGCCACTTTTTCCATCCATATTTTCTAGAAAAAAAACTGTAAAGAGAATGTTCAAATATTTTTCATAAAGACCATTTTAGAGACAACCAAAAAAACACTTGCGCAAAACCTATATGTTCTGGAGGCGATTCAATTGCATTGTGTGAATAAAAATGTGATCAATTTGTAATTATGGCCTTTTGAGAGTATTGTAGTACTTTTATGGTTTTCTGATATTGATTATGCGTATAATTTCTTCTTTCAATCAATTATTGGTAAATACGCGACACATATATAAATATATTTCCTTATGTGTTGACATGCATTAAAGTATATACATCAATAAACATATATATATTATATATATAATCACTAATCTATACTATTTCTTAGTTAATAAATGTATAATCGTATCTTTCTTAGTAACACAGATTCAAATATATATCTTACCATATATTTTATAAATATACTAAGTTCTTATTCACCTGAATATACCTTAAATATACTTATTATACAGTTTCAACATAGTTTTCTGCTCAAACTTTTTATATAAACAGGAAGTTCTATATATCATAATGCCTATGTTTTTCTCAAATTTACCTTTGAATTTTAGCTCACCATACGTCAGACCGTTAATGCTTACATTGAAAAATATTAACAAACATTACATAGTAGTCCATAAGGACAAAAGGTGTCGCCACATTATGACCTTACTTTTTTCATGTCAATTCAGTTTACTATTTATTTCAATTATTGAATAACTTAAATGTATTCTATCTAATGTACTTGCACAGATTTTTGACTAAATCTGCAATAGTTACTTGTTCTATGTCCAGTTTTTGAAAGTTTTCTCAGAGAGTTTGTCACGCAGATTTTCAAAGATCAAATTTCAATTACGAAATTACTTGCGAAACAACTTTTGCTAAAAGTGAATAAATTAACAAAAAAGCTCTTTCATTGGATACTTAACAATAGTTAATTTGTATATATATATGTGTATTATATTGTATATTATAACTATATATAAAAGCCAAGGAAATTATGAATATTTATTGATTGAAATCAACACTGAAAATGACGTAAACGACCTGTAATTTGCAAGTTATATTAAGTAAAATACTGTGTTTATTATTCTAAACTTGCACGTATTGATATAATGCAAAAGGGATACTATATCAAAACTGTCTTTTTATGGTTCACCTATAAAGAGTAACCTGAAAGATGGAAAAAGCTATTTATATTTTCATATACAGTAAATTATATAGTAAACACTTAGGAAATAAAAAACAATTTTGTTAGTGATTTGAAATATGAAGTCAATCTATAACTTAAAGCTGACTAAGCGAAAACTTTCCATTAATTTAATATACATTATAAGAAATAGCAAAAGTAAATATTTGAAACAAATGGATGACTATGAAATTATTATTTAATTGTAAATTGTTCGATTAGGAGTTGTAATCTTTTAGTAAAACATTAAAAATGAATTAAATAATAATCTTTATAATTTAATTTTATTACTTAAACCTAATTTTAGTAAATTTAATAACTTTTACATAATAGTTTGTCATATTACTAATTCTTAATTGACCTATCAAAACAACACCCTAGAATGTTATTGTAACGAGTTGAAATTGCTGTAAAAGCCATTTTTTCAATGTGAAAGTTTTACAATTTTGACAGAATGCAATTGCTTTCCGTTACCTCTAATGGAAGGAAAATCGAAAGAAATCGATAAATTACAAACAAATTTTATGATAAGATAAAATGACGATAAATTAGAGATAAACTGCAAAAATGATAAGATTACAAGAGAAAAATGCAAAAGCAGCGAATATACCGTAAGGAAAAAATGCATTAAATGCAGATTAGAAATATGATAAGTAAAAAACTCTGAAAGAGATAAAATAGAGAGAGGAACTTCCATTAAATAATTGTAAAACTGCTATTTGATAAAAAAGATATGTATATATTGTATATACATATACTGTATATATATATATATATATATATATATATATATTTTATGGTCTACACTAATGGAGGAAAATATTGAGTACAGAGTCTATAGGGATCAGTATATGGATTTAAACGAATGACGCGGATTGTTAATTCTAAAAATGAATGATAGCAGCATATCGATCTAGTAAAAAGGCTTGAAAATCGATCATTTTCACAGCTGGCTGCGATTGTGGTCGGTTCAACCTATGAGAAAATTTCTTGTCTTTGTTTAACTTTTGAAACAATATTCAATACTTTTCTATCCGAATAATATAAAACTTTCAAAAATGGCTCTGTCCTTTTCCGATTAGGAGGAAATGCATATAAGATATTGTTTTTAAGACTTTTTCAAAGTCAACAAAATACCTTTAACAATACTGTCATATCGACTACAGGATTAGGAAATGATTGAGTAAATAGAGTGTTGTTAGTACTAATATAATTATGTATTTTTTAAAATTTTATTATTTATATGATAAAATCAATTATTAGCTATCTTCAATCTTTCTTATAGTGTTATTCTTATATATTTTTGTATAGGGGATTATAAAAAAGAATGATTGTTATAGCATTTAAAAGAAATATTGGATTCTATATTTAGCTATCATCTCTTATTATGTAAAATTTTAGATGAACATAAATGAATTGGACATATTTTACAGGTTTACTTAAAAATCTGTCAAGTTTATTTCAACTAATCTCTTTTTATTATTATCATTTTTTATATTCTTAGTATTTAGTTTAAAAGGTTTTATTGGAAGTTTTAGAATCTAGAGTTTCTTTTTTATTGGTTGTCAAGTAAAAATTAACTTGTATTCTTTATATACAAGTACAAAGGAAGAACTAACTTCATTTATATATTCATTGATGCATCTATATCTCCATTACCTATATGATACATGTACTTTTATAAACATACTTTATTATATTTATCATTTAAGCATTTAATTTAAGATATTTCTATCTTTTTAGTATGTTTGCATAGAATTTTAAAATTTTCTATTTATTACTTGTTATTGGTTTGTTATACATACGGTTTATCTAAATATTTATAAATAAGGTCATATTTAATGCTCTTTTGCTTTTTATTGGTTTAAAAACATCTTACAAATAGCTTTTTTTAATGCTTGTCCTTCCCCTCACCGTTTACTTATCTAACCACGTTTCTTCTTGGAAACTAGTCTTTTATAAATGGATAAATCATCTTCAATTTTTTTACAATAAAGTATATATACCATAAAGTATATGCCTTAAATAGGTAATTATGGCGAATATTTTAAAAATGGATTTATTTAAGAGGGAAGACATATAAAATGAAGAGGTCTTTAACAAAGTATGTTTTATATCTAGTTCTTCTCAAGTTAGTTGTGCAGTCATTCAATTTCATTGTAAATTCATTGATTGAAATTTTAGAATTAGGAGGAGTGTAAAAGTTGAATTCGTTTCATATATAGCTGGAATAAAAATATTTTCGTAAAGGTATACGGTGTAAAATTAATCTTCACTCTTAATGGAAAGTAAGCAAACTATAAAACAAAAGACTTCATTAGTTGTCTAAAGAATAAAAATTATAAAGCTATTTAACTACATTATAACTTAATTAACTAATTTGTTTATTAATTATTAAAGCCTGAATTTAATTGACATCTTGCACCAATAAAAATATTCAACACAATATCCCTTTAACTACGAAGCCAATAAAATTTTATTCTTATGATTAGATTATCTTCAGAAGAAGACAAATCAAGCCTGCAGCATCTTTCTACATGGAATATATAAACTCCATAGCTATAAATATACCTTTGTTATCACTTATAGACTAGAAATAATTACAATTATAGTATATAGAATATTTTTGAAACAGCATATTTATTAAATTATAATGGAAATGGATTTTAATAATAAATGTACAAGTATTGAATCAATAATATATATGTTTATACCTAGCGTTTGGCGTATCTTTATATAATAAAAGCTTAATAAGCCAATCAGAAAAGAATAAGTGATTCGTAAAAACGCAGTATTTAAGATTACTTCAGAATTATTATTGTAAAAATATATAAAAAGAGAAGGTCAATTTATAGAGTTGTAAACAGACTAAAATATGAGAATATTATAAATAGTCTTCTATATTTTTTAGGAAGCTCTTAACGATTCTAAAAATAGGTTCTCTTAAAAACTCATGAAATCTTTTATATAAACTTTATGAATTTGATTAAATAGAGATCACAATTAAAAAAAGATTTTTACTTAATTCTTTCTTTCTTTTTCAAATTTCTTTTAATTTTTACATTCTTATATTTTCTATTTAGTAATAAAATAATAATTATTTCCATGCAGATTTGATAAAAGGAGTTCGAGAATTCATAATTGGTGTACTCTTTGGCCTTGCCCTTTGAGTTGGTACAGGTGTGCTTCGTGATTCTGTTGCAGTAGAAATTCTCGACATTGGCCTTCGACCTCGTACTGCAGCGCTTATAGATCTTTCATTCCTTTCTCTAGCTCTCCTCTCTTGTTCAACTTGCTGTAGGACGTGAGGCGGATAGTAGCTTAAATTCTCTCTCCATTTATATGGATCATTCAAGTAACGCTCATATAGTTTTTGCCTAACAACGTCTTCACTTTGAGTCATATTTTCGAGGCAGTGCTTAAGCACACCCCAATTTTTATCGGAACTAGCCGCCTTTCTATCAGCTTTAACGTCTTCAACATTACGTTTGATCTTTCCCCATCCTCTTTTTGCAATTTTTTGAACGTTCTCAGATATTTTTGGTTTAGTAGATATTTCTCCATCCGTATCTTAAAAATGAATAAAGAAGTAAATGATTAAATAGGAGCCATTTTCCTTATTTTTACTGGTCTTCAAAGATTAAAAAATAATGAAAAAAAGTTGGTGAATTTGTTAAGATTTATTAAGTGGTTATTGAATACTAATCTATTCAAGCCTACTTGATCATTAATGAAACTTTTATATAAAGTACGCACTAAAAATTTAGTAAGTTACTCGAAATGAAAAAAAAACATGCTTTTCTAATGTTAATAAATAGTAAGATTATAGTAAGAAACTTGAGTAAGATACGAAGAAAACCTTTTTTTTATGTTTTCCTTATCAAAAACTAGTTAAATTCTTACCTTTGTTCAATGACTGTAAAAAAGAGACGTTATTTAACGAAGGTTTTTCTTTGGCTTTTTCTTCCTTTTCAAGTTCTCTTTTGACCTTAGCAAAATGCGTACTAGGTGTTTTTAAGTTAACTTTTGTTCCTATTTCTAAAAGGTGAGTGGAATCGTCGCTAATCGCTTTAACGTGATTCTCGAACTGACTCCACAATGAAAACTTTTTAGAACCGTCATCTTCAATTTCTTCTAATGTGCACTCCTCCTCTCCCATAACGACTATATACGATATATAAATATACGAGTATTAACAACACATTATTTGCTTAATCATTTCATAATCCTGCAGTCAATATGCCAATATTGTAAAGGCGGTTTATTTACTTTAAAAAGCCGTAAAAAACAATATTTTCGATGGTAAATGTTCCTTTTTGTTGAATAAAAATAGTATAAGATATCAATTTCGTATTGAAATTGTTGAATCTAATTTTGCAAATAGAACAAAGATAAATTCTCTTGTAGCTTGAACAGACCAAATTGCAACCAGCTGTGAAAATGATTGATTTTCAAGCCTTTTTACAAGATCGATACGCTGCTATCATTCATTTTTAGAATTAACAATCGTCGTCATTCGTTTAAATCCATATACTGATCTTTATAGGCTTACTGTTCAATATATTCCACCATTAATATAGACGACTATTCGGTCATTTGCACGCTTCTTTAAATACTCTAACAATCATTCAATATAATACTTAAGATGATAGCAATTTCATTTCCTTCAATTTAAAATATAGGATTTATTCGGTTGTTTGACTTTATCATCATCTCTATAAGATTATCAAGGATTCTATTATCTTTTAAATAAATTGATGGATAACACTTCAAATCTTCTAAATGATCTTTTTGTATTGAATATAAAATGAGAAGCAGAGAGGGATTAACATTAAAAAATAGTTTAAACAATTGCATTATTATCTATTGCTTGTTTTGAATAGTTAATTTACTTAATACTGTCATTTTTCTTTACTTTGATTATTACTTTATATAGGTTGAAAATATTCAAAGGTATGAGATAGTTTTCTTCAAAATTCTATGAAATACTATATACAGTATATATTTATAAAGATAGCTTTATGTCTATTTACTGTAATAAAAACCTTTCTTTCTTATTCACTATTCCAGTAGTTTCTTATAATAAAGGTGGATAAATTTCAACAGTAAGAAGACAATACACAGAAAGACTTTTTATGTAGTACATAATACTTCAATTAGTATTAAAAAGATAATTAGTGTTTTTCTTATTGTCTTTGACGTTACATGTTATTGTTTTTAGTAGGCTGTCATTTAATCTTTTCTGCTATTATTCAAGAATTCAAGATTTAGCAAAATTATTCCTAAAGGATAAAATTCAAAGACCTATAGTTTTCTTTTAATCATCCAGGCGTCGCTAGTATATTTTAAAAATAAAGCCAAAGTGGTAGGATTGTATGTAACAACAAGTTTTAAGATGATTGCAACAATATTAATATTTATTCAAAGTATATAATTTATTCCTGGTTATATATATATATATATACACTGTATATATATACCAATATATTAATACATACCGTATATATGTTAATCAATTTCATTGATAGAATACTGTGTAACAAATGTTCCTTTTTTAAAATAATAAAAAGAAAATAGAAGTATAAAAATGCTTTCACTTTACCATTAACTTTAAAGAAGTCTTTTTTTTTGCAGGAAATATTAAAAATTGAAGCTAGGAAAGTTGTTCTTTTGATAGAAAAATACTTAGATAACATAATAATATTAATATAAGCCTTTTAGAGAATCTACTAGTATGCTGTAATATCATCGGAGCCGCTAAACTCTACAACAAGATTACCAGGTATTTTTTTAAAACCTTGTTTCTCTCCGCTGATTAGTTCTAGACTTTTTTCCTGTATTTCTTCTTTAATGTCTCGACCCTCTATTTGTCCTTCGGCGACAATGTTACTACGTATTCTTCCGTATTCAAAAACCTAGAAACGATTTAATATATATTATCTTTTCATTTAGCTTGTTTATAGAGAAGATACAGGAGTGAAGAGAAAAATAGGGAAAAATTTACCTGAATAATTATTGGTTCAGTAAATTTTTTTCTGTAAAATATACAACGGGTATCGTATTCTGCATCGAGTTTTCCAGAGTTTTCTTTCGCTTTGACAGGAATAGATTCGAATTTTTCTTTTTCACTCTTAATTAATAGATTTGTCATAAAATTATCCATTCTGGCTTTGGTCATATCGGGTAGATCCATATTTTCAACTTGTTTAATTCTTAATCTTGTAATGAAATTATATGGTTTTGAACAGCAAGTTGCTTTAGTAGGTACGATATCATTCATCGATCTATTGGTTAATATTGAATAAATTCAAAAAATAAATTCAAAGAAAGGTTTTTGATGTAATATCCCTACTTGGCATTTAATTTTGCTGAAGAGTAGAGCCTCAGGTAAAATTCTCCTGCAAAACCAGCAGCTTCTGTACATGGGATTAGGATGTAGCATCCCCTTTTAAACGTCTCCTTTACATAGGCACTTCGCAATTTATTAAACGTAGTCTTAAATACTGTTTCTCCCTTATCGTTTATTCGGTATTTTCTGCATTAGGGGATAAATATGTATTAAGTTTAATAAACAAATTGAATTATTTGATTTTTACTTACTGATTATCAGCAACTCTCATAATGTGTAAGCCAATAGCTCGTTCATTCATGTCTTTTCCAGAAGTTTCAAGGGAAATAATAACATCATCTTTTACATTACTTATCTCGAAAAGATATTGTGGATTGTTTAAGAATGTTTTCTGAGTTTCGTTTCCACCACTTCTATCTTTTTTTGTTCCTGCTGCTCCAATAGACCATTCGCCTTTAAATGCTGTTTCATTGAGTGATTTTCCAGCCGAAAAGAACGAAGTATTTAAAAAGTGACATATATCAACGTTTGTAAATTTATCCAAAAATTCATCAAAGTCCATCCAAAACTCACTATCATTAGAATAAAGAATACCATTTTTTTGTTTCTCTTTTGGTGATAATTGCTTCATAGGTTCGGATTGTTCATTCCATTTACCATTCCATTCTTTATTACCCAAAGGATTTCTAACTCTTATTAGGCCAAGTTTATTTTTCCCCAAGTAATCTTTTACCTTTGATTCCAAATTAGGACCCAAAACCGAAGAGACAAAATAATTTAGGCCATTGTATAAGCCATCCGAAGATGTCGTTAATTTCTCTTCAGCTGAGCATTGCTTCCTCACAATCATAAGACTTTTATTTTGACTTGCTTCGAATAACATTTTGAAAATTTCTTGTCGAACCTCTGTGCTTAATAGGTCGTAATCTTCAAAGGATATTGGTTGAGCAACTCCACCAGTAAAGTCAACTAAAGCATTCGAAGCATTAGTCATATTCATACTTTCATAGTCCCCAATGAACCTATAGATATCAATAATTTCATAATCAACTTTAAGCATAAAAACTGTTTGGACATATTACGACTTACTTTGCATACGCTTTCTGGCACAAAGCTCCCCAGTACTCATTTTTAGCCTCCGTATGAAGATAAATCAACTTATTATCTTTAACTGGTAAAGAATCGTCAACAACAACTTCAAACCACTCGCCAACGCTCCAAAATGAAAATTTAAATATTCCAGCGTATTGGCTTTCATCAGTAAATTCTTGTTTCTTATAATCGGGCAGAACCTATTGATAATAAAATATACATTAGTGTTTCAATATAATATTCAATAAAATCAGAATAGAATGGAATGGCTTCAGCATTCAATACTCAATATTTGATTAAAACAAAGTTTAACAAACTTTTAAAGAAAAAGAAAGACTTGAGAAAATTGAAAAAGATCAATAAGTTATGTACATTCTCTATTTTTCACAAATTTATACAAGATAAGCATTAGAAAATATTTCTTCGATATTTACCTTGAAAAGTAACTTTTTATCTGATAAAAGAGCGCAACAAGTTGACCCAAACCAGCCAGCTCCGGTTGGTCCTTCAACATAGTCATCGCTTGTTGAATTTTCAACTAGTAAACGGGGTATTTTACTCAACTCTTTCGGCCTCCTCCATTCAATAGAATTGTCAACTTGACTAAAAAATAACGATTTATTATTTGGAGGAAATTCTGAATCTACAAATAGTTCTCCCGATGCTAGATGCTTCTTTTTGAGGTCTTTATACTTTTGATTCCGAAAAGCCGTCATTGTCAATTGTTAAGAATATGTGCTATTCAATCTGTAAAAAGGAAATGAACAACAATGAATACCGAGGATAGAACAAATTCTAGTTACCTATTATGAAGACTTATTAAAGGAATACTTAGAATTAAGACCTCTTGTTAAAGCAGATTTAATTTTGACACTCGTCTCAGCCAAAAGTGTGATTGGAGATATGACACAAAATGAAGCCTTTAGTTACGTTATAAATATTTACCGCTACTTATACGAATTTCTTGTAATTAGAAAAAGACTTTATGCTTGATTTTGTTCAAAAAAATTTTTGTACAGATGTTTATTGATACTTTAAAATAATCAATTATACAAAAACAAATTTATTTATAAATATAACGTTTTAAATACTATAAAATATATGAGACTATACCCTTTTTTAGTGATAAGCAGTAAAAATTCCGGCAACTTACCTTTCGTATCTCTTGACTACGAAAAACAGATCAATGAAAATTGTTCAAACAAATTATGCGCAAAATAGAAATGAAAATTAACAGCTCTAGTTGTCATTTTTATGCCTTAAACATTAGATAGAAAAATTACCAAAATACATAGGTAATAAATATTTCTTTATGTAATTAACAAATCTTTCAACACTTAGAACATACCATTCAATACTCAATATAACGTTATCATGTTCAATATATATATAAATATATATCAGTATTTTTAAGCTATTTATTTCGCTTTCACTCTGTTTTCTGTACAGTTTTCACATTATGTCTTCCCTCTTTTCCATAATTAGTTTGTCAAATAATGAATTCCATACACAGTTTGCAGTTTGTTTAAAAAAGAATATTAATTATTCAAAAATTTCTTTTTCGTCGTTGTTTTAAAATGGAAAGCTAGTATCTTGAAATTTTTTTGGACTTTTCCAGAATTTATTTATCTTATCTTTTTCCCTTCTAGGAGATTTTAATGTAAATTCTACAGCATTCTCCGTTGTTACTTTTTCAGATTTCAAATATTTTGGAGGTATAGTTGACAGTAGAATTTGGAATGCTTCTTGTACATTTTGTCCAGTTTTTGCAGATATTTCAATAAATCTTGACTGATGAATGCGAGCTAATAGCTTTCCTTCTTTTTGTGAAACTTTCCTTTGAGATCTTTCTATTTTATTCGCGATTAAAAGAGATATAGCTCTCGGATTAACAATACTATCCAAGCAATATTGAGCATATTCAAACGAACTCCGATTAGTGACATCATATAGAACGGCTATTGCGTGAGCTCTATGACAAGATACAAGCGCAGCATTTAAATCTCCACCTATTAGACAACCGAAATAATAATAAATAAACAGCTAAAATTTAACTGTAAAACAATCGAAAGAATAGATTATTTATATATAGTAAATCCTATAATATCGACTTGATTCAACAAAATTTATGACATATTTTTGAATAATTTATAAATTTTTCTATGAAAGAAAACTTTTACCATAAGCAACGTAAACATTACCTTCAACATCGTAAACTTGCACTGTAACGACTCTATCTAAAGCTTGAAAATGAGTATTAAACGTATGCCTAACAACTTTAGCCCTTCCTACGCTATTCTCCGTTACTTTTCCATTGATAATTCTTTGCACAAATGTTGATGTTCCCACGTTATAATCCGAAAGAAATACCAATTGCGCTGGTTGACTCATTCTCTGATAGCATGAAAATATTTCTATGAAGATTGAATGTAAAGTAATTCGAAACTAACAAGAAATTTGAAAAACAGCTGTTTCTTAAATCAATAAACCCAATTCTCCTTTTTAAAAGTTGAATATATATAAATATAATAAATTAATATTTCGCATCATCTGAAATGCAAAATCATTAAATTAGTTGAGAGAAATTGACTAAATTTCATTGAACTATTAATAAATCAAAGTACAAAATATTTACACTGGAAGACATAAAATTGATTCAATAATTCTTCTTCATTAAAACAATACGTGTACAATGTTAAACGAAGAAATTTGAGTAAGAGAAAAGGGATGCTAGATTATGGAACACGATTGCCAGTATATTACAATTATTGTTCATATTGATTTGAAGTATTAGTGTTAGTAAGTTGTTGTTGAATTTAATACGTAAGAGACGAGTAAGAGTTGTTGGTTTGGTTAAAAACGGTTTCAACTTACAAAAAATTGCTTTATCAATCAATGAAAATTGTAAATTATCGTAAACTATATGATAGATGGAATTTTAGGTGTTTTTTTTTAAATTGCACAAAAAGTAAAGAATAACTTCATCTCTAATCTATAAAATCATGGATAGAGTTGAAAGTTTGAATTGAAATGATTTATCTAAAAAGAACATATATTCAATGAAACATTCAATAATTTCTGTTTATAAACAAGTCTACGAAAATTGCTTTTGAGGTTTTTTACAGCTAAAGGAAAATATATTGGTCTATCCATAATACAGTACGCTATATATGTTCCTATTCTTTTTATTTAGATTTCTTGTGAAATGCTTACACCCATACTTCCAATGAAATATATACTTCAAAGGTAAAAAAAATTGGCATAGTTGATGCTATTCCTGTTTATTTCTATAATTACACAAAGCATGTATATATTTATATATATATATATATATATATATATATATATAGTGCATATTGTATACTGTATATAATGCATACGAAATCATGGGCCGAAGTTTGATTATATTCAATTTTTCAGAATCTATAACACAAATCCTTTTAAATTTTATTAAATTTAATGAAAGCTATCTTGTTTATTCAGGCATTATCATGGTCATGTTTGCCAATGGTGGCTGCCATTTTGTTTCATCAAATTTTTCCATAAATTTTTCAAGGCATGTATCATCTAGAATTTCTCCAGTTCTCGACTTTTTCTCCAAATATAAAGCTAGAATGATAATAAATATAAAGAAAACATTAGAAAATACACTATCCATTCTTCTTCTTATCTCTTTCCTTTTTTAGTATTTAGATCTATAATAAACTGTTACCTAAACTTTCCCTTGGGGCTAGTGATATACTTCTAAACCAATCTTCTACGTGAACTGTCAAGAGCATTCTTATACCTCTGGCCAATTCCTTTACATCTTTCCAATCATAAACTCCTATTTTTGGTAGATTTGCAGAAGTCATATGCACCAGTTTCCTTCCATCAATGTTATTTTTTTCGAAGCAATCCTAAGTAATAATTTATTGATTTTCATTCAATTTCAATCAATTGTTTAATAGAGAAAATTATAGATCAACATACGACATACTGCGGAAATCCAGCTTCGTCTTTCACCCACTTACAGACTTCTTCAACTGTCCAAAACCATGTTCTCGGAACTCGTTCATCGACCAAATCTTCATTTATTCCACTCATTGAAAATAATAGTAATAGAATATAAAGAAATCATATAAAGTAATTTTTCAATAAGATATAGAAAAGTACGGTTACTAGGCTACTGTCGTCTGCAAAAATTAGACAATTCGACATGCGCCATCTGAAATATTTTTTTAAATAAATAAACCTATGTCATATAATACGCCATCTTGTGTATTTTAACTCTTCTCCTTTATAAACAGTTTAATATCATCAACACTGTCATTATCTAAACAAAATACAATGAAAAAGATATGCAAATTAGCTATAACAAATAAAAAATTATCCTCAGGTAGAATAGGAAATATAAGATTTCCTTTTAATTTTCTATTAATTAACTGAGGGAAAAAACCAACTTGAGTAGATCGATTCCCTCTTTAACGCTTAAACACTTCCTTCCTGCCAAACGATTTCTAATGGATGATTACTTCTATATAAATTAACTTGTATTTTACCAATAAGAGAGTTAGAACACTAAATGAAGGAAATTGGTATTACGGTTTTAATAGTATTAAATGTAATAAAAGTAAATAAAGAAGAAGAGAGTGCTTATTAAATTTTTGTTACAAAGTATAGAGTATTAATTAAAATGAGAAGACGAAATCATCTGATAAGAACGTAAATAATAAATCTTTTGTCTATTGTCCTAATTCAATTAGAAATTATTAAATTAAAAATCTATCTTTATCTATTGAACGATTTACGTATAAAAATAATATTAATAGGAATAATAACAATAATAATAAAAAAACTATGCAATTTATTAAAGAATTCAAATAGAAAATAGACATTTAATTGAGTAGTTTCAAAGTGCAATAATAATAGTAATAATAAATAAGAGACTTTAATATTAAAATGTTGAAATTAAGGGATAAGAATTCCTTAAGAAATTTATGTATTGTTATATGTTATTTTTCACTTTCTCCGTACTTTAAAAATTGAAAAAGGTGTATCTATAAAGAATTAGAAAGATAGTGAACAAAAGAAGATGGGCGGAGAGGAGTTGGAGGAGGAGCAAAAACTAACAATTATATTATTTGTATACTATTATTTCATCCTTCAAAACTTGAATACTACTGTATATTAATTATTTTCTAAACAATGTGATATTTTTTTCTTTACTACGGTCTTGTTGACGAAAATAAAAAGACAAAAATACTCTTACAATTCTTAAACAATAGGACATTATTGATATACTGTATATATATATGTATATATATATATATATATACTGTATATAGATTAGAGATTATGTAATTATTAATTAAATCATTTAACCAACTGTTTAGCAGAAATCACTGATAAACTAAATATGACAAAATTTTTATTAGTTATGCAAACTCTGTTGAATTTTTTGCTGCCAATCAGCTTCTAGCTTACTTCTTCTTCGACTTCTTTCAGCTGAATTAACATCTGTTGATTGGGAGGAGATTGTTGGAGAGAATATTTCAGAGTCTAATTCGTCATCTGCTATCAGTTCATTCTGATAGATGCCAAGTGAATGTCTTTGCCTTCTTAGTTCAATCTCTCTTGCTTTCATTTCTCTCACTTCTCTTTCTATTCGGTCTTGTCCGCTGGGTGAGGATCTTATTAAGCTTTCGCTTGTAGATCTTTTCACACTAGTCGGTTGAACCGAAGAATGTTGAAAGTTCATTGACGAACTGGTGCTTATTGGTTTTGGAACGTTATCTTTAGGCGGAGGTGGTTTAGGTACTACAACCACAGGCTCGGGCTCGCTTTTAACCGATACGTCCGGTGAATCTGGTTGAGATACATCAGATAATTTACGATTAATTTCTTCAGTTTTTATTTTTGGTTGAATATCATTGTGTATCTTGGTTGGGGAACCATTAACTCTCCTGAATGAGGGTGAACCTTCAACAGGAGCAACTTCCTGATACTTTTTCCTATCGGGTTCGTAATCTTTAGAAGTACTAATTATACGACCTTGATGCCTTAAATTTTCTTCTCTAGCCTGTTCTAGTTTTATTTCGTTTTGTATTCTAGTGTGAGCCCATTTTTTATAGCTCTGACTCTGATTGGCCTTATTTAAGTTGTTTGGTGATTCTTCGATAGGTTTTTGTTGGGGAACGCTCATGATTTGCTCTTCTTGATAAGCCTTTAGTTTAATACCTTTCTCTCTCCTAAAACTCTCCTCCCGCTCTCTAGCTAATCTTATTTCTCTTTCGATAGGTGTTTCACTCGAAACGGTTGCGAATTGACTCAAGTCGGTTTTGTCTTCTTCGAGTAAGGGTGCCACCTTAATTCGAGAAGGTGGCGGCGAATCTGGAGGAGGGGTAGTCTCAACAAACGGAGCAGGAGAAATAGCAACTTCGGGGGTTGGAGGAGGAGTTTCAACTTTCGGAACGTTTGGTAATATAGGAGTCGTTTCGACACCATCAACCTCTGTAAACAATCCCATCTGTTTTCTAAGACTTCGCAATTCATCTTCTTTTTCCCTTTGTTCTCTTAGTTCTCTGGCTAATCTCGATTCAATCATTCTTGTTGAATTTTCATATCGACCAGAAGTTGTAGGTGAATTCGTATGAACGGAAGACGGGGTTGATGGAAGCGTAGGCGGCGTACTATTGGAAAATTTCGGAGTAGGCTTCGCTTTTATTGGAGTTACAGGCGTCGAGGGTGGAGAGCACTTGTTCTGCGCCAAAGAGGTACGCTGTTGACGCAATTCTTCCTCCCTCTCTTTTGCCAATCTTATTTCCCGTTCAATCAGAGATTCTTCTCTTACCACACTTTTTTCATTAATCTGTAAAGGTTAAGGAATTTATTAAAAAGTTCTTACAAATTGAAAAACCATTTAAAATTTTGAGAAATAAATTTTGATTCTACAAAAGACGCTGGCGTTAAAATTACTTCCAATTTTACAAACGTTCTGCCACGACATAACTTATAATCTTAAATAACGAAGTAGCTCCAGCTTTGAGTATAGTTTAAGAACAATAAGAAATTCCCAATTTTTTGTGTGTTTTTATATTAAATTTGACATTTACTCACATCAAGACTTCTTTCTAAATCATCGGCCAAGTCGTCCTCTTCAATAACGTCACTTTGAGCGTGGGTATCGCGATCAACTTCAGTCATTTCTTGAAAATCCTGAGAATTAATCAACATATCTCTCTCTTTTTTCAATTGATATTCCCTTTCATTCGTCGCCTTAATTTCCCTATCGATGGCGCTGTCTACCAACTCCTCGTTCATCTCTTGAATATTGGCGTTATTTTGATTTTCCGATTCAGCTGCAAACTGTTCCCAGTGTTTCTTTGTTTCGTTTAGATTGGCTATAGAACTCTGTTCAACGTTGCTTGAGAATTCACCGCTAGATGTCGTTGTTGTTGCGAGAGAACTTGAATCAATGTCACCTGGTTGATAAGTAAACAAATTCTTGTCTAGTCAATAATTTCTTTAGGCTTATAAACGCTTTATAATTCTTATTGTAGGGCTTGAAAGAACACCCTTGAAGGTTTATAAATAATTTTTCCTTAATTGCTTCAAAAAACCCCCCTATACTACAAACAAGTTTTTCCCCTTCCAAAAAACGTATTTCACGCTTCAATAAAATAATTATAATGATTTAACAGTCTACAATTCACTATCTTCGCTTCATCAGCCTAAACTGATTTGTTGCACAGAATATACATATACAACAGATTTATATATTAATAGGAGTAACATAGTAAATATTGTGCAAAAATGAATATTTAAATATTCATAGAATAGAAGATGAATATCACTTATATGATTGATTACATCACTTTTTGTAATTAAAATAAGCCATATAATCAATAGAGTAAAAAAAATACTCTATTCATAAAAAATTAATAAAAAACTATCACAATTCTTTAATCATATTCCAAAAAAGTTAAAATTATTAAACTCTTAGTTAATTAATTCTTAACACAGGTATATTGTTTAGTAAGAGGAAAATAGGAAAGGAGGGAAAAATGACTATTTATTGGAGTTGCTATAAATATATATTTCATTCTCATATAATTGTGATAAAGGTTTATTTTCCTCTCCTTCCTTAAAGAAAAATACGAATATTCCCAATTAGTCTTTCATTTTTTCCCTATTCAATATAAAATACACTTACATGGCAAATCAATTTGGAAAATTACATTGACAGACCCAATCCATTATTATCAAATGAATACCATAGTTAAATTATGACCATTTAATGATATGACAAAGAAAACAATTCGAATAAACTAGGATGACATATATATGAACTAGGAATAGGCTTGGGAAATGACAAGAGTTTTAAAATAGCTAATATATTTAATGTTTTAGAGATATCAGTCAATCTTTCAACATTTTTTTAGCTATTATATTTTTAATATAGGTGGACTTCATATTGCGTAATCGATATAATCTACAGGTAAAATATATGCTTGATGCTACTATTAATAATATATCTTATTACTCATATTAAAGATAAAAAGATATTTTCTCAAACTCAAAACTTGTCTCTTTAACGAAAGAGAACGAAGCGAATTATGAGAATTATTAGAATATATGCAAAATCGGAATACTTTTATGAACCAATTTAGAATTCAATATTAAGTGATGTTAAACTTTTTAATAGCACTTATTCCACCAATTCAATAATACTTCGCTTTGTTTAACCTGAAAAACGTTGATTTACTGCTTTTAACGTGGTCTTTCAATGCGTTTCTCACTCTCTCTTCTCTTTCGTTACATATTTAATTTATGACACATGACTTATTTATGAAACTAAGATAAAAGAAATATCCGCCAATGTACCAATTGTCAGATTAGACAAGAGAAAAAATTCTTTATAGATTAAAAATTCCTCATTTTTGAATATTAAAGAATTTTTCTTATATGACGATTTAGGTTGATATGTTTTATGAATACTAATAAATTTAACTAGTTCTATTTAATGCTAAGTAAAGAATATTATAATCGATTAGAAAACATTCTTGTTTCGCTTTTTTTTTGGAGCCTAGATAAAGAAAACGTTAATCCAATTGTTAAATGAACAAGTTAACTCTTGTTCACAATCTTTTGGGTCAAAAGGTAAGATTTGTTACTAATTAAAGCATGAAACTGCTTATAAATGCGTTCTCTATATTCTCTCTCTCTATATCTATTATATCTTTATCATAAATTTTTAATTGGTTTAGTTGTTAGACAGTAGATTTAAGGATTAAATAGCTTAATCTGAATATTAGCTAATAATCGCTTAGAAATTCTGTGACACAAAATTACGCACTCTTATATTTACCTTCAGAAATTTTCGTGTTATAGTCACTATTATTGTTGTTGCTAGTACTATTAATCCTAATATTATGGTTAGGAGTATAAGGATGAGAAATGTGTCCTTCTCCGTTTAAATTAATATTCTCTCCAAATCTCACTCTTTTCTTGTTGTCACCTGGTATACATTCATAGTCGATATCATAGTCTCCTTCGCGGGGTTCGTCAACATCCGCTTCGATTACGTAATCCATTAAAAAATTTATTGATATTTTGAATATTTGAAATCGTTGAAATAAATTGACAGCATAAATTGTCTGTCTAGTTTGGCAATTAGAATTTTATATCCTCATATACCGTTTGGTATAAATTATGAAGTAGATATGCACTCTATCTAAGATGCTGTATATTTAATATAATATTGGCTAGACTGCGTTGTGTGTCACAGTACAATGCAGAATTCCCATGCAGACGCTTATATTTACTGTTGAGTCACACGGAACTATCTACGGCGCTGTATCACTAGCCCCGCCTACGTTAAAAATAAATAACGCATGCTATTAATTCTTAGAAAGCTGGGCATTATATCACAAAAATGAAAGTGAAAGTATTAATAATATTTAAGCTATTTAAAAGATATCCAATCTTTGGTGAATAGAAGATAGAAATATCAGAGGAAAAATCATAGTAAATAGACTATATAACAGTAAAAAATCAGTATAAATATGGCCAAGAAAGGGCGAAAGAGAACAATTGCTAGGCCTATTTGTTAAATAGAATTTCGGTATATTAATAAAGAAATCTTACTCATTACAAGGCCAGTTTACGGAGAGAAACATCACGATTGAATATATATATATACACAGTATATGAGAAATACCATAGTCACACTATATATACAGTATATATATTAAGTTATAGAATTCGAAATTTTAGCTTTTACACTGATCAAATGTTCAAAAATATTGAATAGATTTCGCAATAATAGTAGGAGGATTATAGAACGTATAAGAAAACGGAAATACTTGTACTTGTATATATTATAGTATATATTTATATAAAAAGTTGACAATTTGTTACTTTTCCTCTAATCTTAAGAGAAGGTGACAAATTGAAGTTTTAAAATTAATAGAAAAAAGTAAAAATCTCTCTTTTTCTCTTTATTTTAAATATTAACAAACCTTTTCATCGACTCGAACAAATGTGGGAGTATAAAACAGTCGATAAGATTATATATTTTAAATAAAAGGCCTATATATCAAATATGCAAAAAAAACCCTTAAAAAATATAAAAAATAGCAAAGCCTACTCATAAAAAACAAGTAACGATAGTTTAAGGCCGAAAATGAATAAGGAAAGAAAAACATGGTTTTATACTGTATATCGTATAGTTAGACCGTTTAAAATAATTTGAATTTAATGGTTTGTAATATAAAATAAGCTGACTGGAGGAAAATTTCTATAGTTCTTTAGAATGTTCCATTTAGTTATGGTCTATACATTGAATTTTTTTTCTATAAAGTAGGACACATTCGTTTTTTATTTCTTAATAAATTAACATTATCATCTTATGTATTTGCTCTTTTAAGAAAAATATTGACTAAATATTGGGAATAAAGTTATATATCATAAATTTTAAGATATTATAAAAATTCTTCTAAGGCTAGAATACAAAGATAAGGCATTAAAAGAGCAAATAAATCTACTAGTAAAAGTATTTATTGTGCTTAAAGGATTTTCTTCAAAAAACATACTTAACAAAAAATGAAGGAAGAAAAAAGAGATAGGAAATATCACCTCGATAACATTCGATGTTTAATCTTGTGAAAAATAACTGTTCAGGTGACAGTCGACAGAATATACAGTTAACGTTTGTTTGTATAGACCTAGGTGACACCTACAAGATTAAATACCTTTTTTTTATTATTTAACGCCATCTAGCGGTGAAGTATAGAGTCGCTGTTAATCCCTTTAGCAAAATCTCAAATTACCAGTGGTTTCGTGCTTCTCTTTTAAAGTGATTAAGTTGGTGTTTACTTCTCGTGGGAAATTTTTAAGACTCGTAATACTTTAATTATGCAATTGAATATATTGGGTCAAAATAGGTTGTAGATACCCATCTAGAAGACAAGATACTATAAGTACTGTTCCGGTTTTAAGATAATAAAGCATTTATATTCTTATCTTATTATTATTTATGCTTCTGATATAAAAAATATTGAAAAAATCTTTCAGATAAAATCATATTCGATAACGAATGACTTCAATTTCAAAGATAATGTACCTTAAATAGTTATAATAATATACTGTATATATACTGTATATCATAAACTTATTTATTACTATTAATATTATTTGGTCTATCTTTTCGTATAAATGCAAGAAAAAGCCAACATATTAATAAAAATTCCTTCCAAATTTCTCTCCTTCTCTCTCTCTCTCTCTCCCTGTAATATCTATCAAACTACCTACTTGATTTTATATTTCATTCTCTCTTATACTTACAGATTATTCAACCCTTTCAATTATTTATAAATAAATACACTAAAAAGAAAAACAAGAACAATAATTGTATATTCCATTCGTCTTTCAAAGCTAATAGGCCGAATTAAAACGTCGATTATTTGATTAGATTTGTAAGAGAAAAAAATTGCTAATTAACAACAGATCCTAAGAAGTTAAGTATTATTCAAGTACTTGAAAAAAAATAAAGAAGATTAACCATATCGCATGAATGTATCGTAAGTAGTATAAAGAAATCTTTTGTTTTTTTCTTTTAGATATTATAAACAACACAGAGGATTTTTTGAATTAGAATTTTTATCAAAATTTTCTCCATTCTACGAATATTTCAAATTTAATAATATATTAATATATAGTGGTATAGGCTATTATATTATGTATACTGACTGTTTGATGTGGACTACTGAAATTGCTTAGTCTAAAAGCATTGTAAAATATAATCGTTATTTATTTATTTATTTATTATATAATCGTTAAAATTAACTTATTGATTGGAAACTCTACTTTCCTCTCTGTTTGAATAATTACATATTTATTTTATATTAGTACATTAAGGAAAGTTTTTCATCAACTTGTACTATTGTACGAATAGTTTTAGGTGCTACTTTATCGGTTATAACTTTACAATCTCTTTATCAATGGAACGAAAGAATATTTTGTCACATTTTTACAATATAGTACTAAACTACTTCCAGAATTTCCTATAAAGGTATTTTTACAGTTTAAAATTCTTTTGATTTGATAAAGAATGGAAAACTAGGTTAAATGTGTTCAATAACATATTATTTATATACTTTATACTAAAATATATATATACCACATATATATGTTATACTGCATATGTATGGTTTTTTTTTTAAATTGTGGTTTAAGGACAGTTACTACTGTTTAACATAATAAAAATAAAGCCAAGTTTTCTTTTATGATAGAGATAAAACTATTTTTTTTTCATTTCGAGTTACGCAATAATTCGGATGTTTTTTTAAAAAGAAAATAAATAATCGACTTACCAATTGATGAATTAATTGATCGAAATATATTTGGTAAGGAATTTTTCTTCTTTCCTTCGTCGTCCTTCTTCTTTTGCCAATACTTTCTTTCACTTTCTTTTACTTTATTATCGAAAACTTCATCTTCAATATCTTCCTTTAAGAATTCTGTATTGAATATTTTTTTTCTGACCCTCATTTCGTCCATTATAGATTCTCTTTGTTTTTGAAATTCAATATTTTCATCTGATGGTTTATCACCGCTTCTCTTTCGTATTTTATAAGATGGTGAAAGAGCCCCTTCAACGAATAATTGGGCTTTAGCGACTGGGTCATCTTGCAGGTCAATTCGACGGAGTCCAGTCACCGGATCCATTTCGAAATCTGCGATATGATCTCTTATCTCCTCTGTTGGCGCCGTCTTGCGGTTAGGTGGTTCTGATAAAGGTAAAGGCGGTGCGACTTCTACTGCTTTAACATGATCATAGCCATCAATAATTTCTTCCTCCTTTTCATCCCAATCTTTAGATGTGTTTAGAGCTTGTTGACTGAAAACATCAGATGAATTTGTATCGAAAGGCTTTGTATTGTCATTTTTAAATGATTCGAAAGGATTGTTCAATGGGAATGGGGATTCTTGATCTGTTGGAGAAATTGGACTTGGCGTCTCGTCATTTTTTATATTGAATAGAGCCGAGATTCCTTTTTGAATTTGATCTGTATTAGCTTTCAAGTCAAGCGATAGCTTCCTATCTAAAGATTCATTATTTTTTTCCCTATCGTTCTGTTCCTCATCGATTTTATTATTATGTAGCATTGCCGACCGTAAACTACGTTGTAAGTACTGTTCTCGGCCATTTTGAAATTCAGATGTCCTGATGATGGTTTCTTTATCCTCTATTGAGGTTATTTTATTGATATTTTCCAATGTTGAATCGAATAGGTCATTCTCCTTCGTATCCTCTGTTAACAGCTGGCTTTTATTTCTCGGCGTTGCATCAGATGGCGCTGACATAGAAAATTTAATTTCGGTAGTAAATTTATCATTAACATTATCTATAGAGATATCAGAATTTTGGGAAAACTTTGGTGAAAATAGTAATTTTCCTACTGATGCGGTTGATGTAGTTGACGAACTATTACCATAAACTATAGGCTCTTTTATTAATTTTATAGAATTTCTTGTTCTCTCTAGTAAATCGTCAAATATGTCATAGTTTTTATTATCCTCTTCCATTGCTTCTTCAGTAGGTAGGTTGTCTTTATGTTCGTCATTTTGTTTTATATTGTCAACAATTGGTTCTGTAACATTGGAATTAGCTGAGAAATTATCCAAAACAGTACCAGCAGTAGTACTTTTAGTATTATTGTTGTTATTATTACTATTACTATTACTATTATTAAAATATTGAGTAATATTTTGAATTTGTTCAAAATTGTCTGTAGTTTCGTTAAATAAAGTTTTATCGTCCACGGAATGTTCAGCGAGATTCTCTAAACTTCTTGATACGGCTAAGGCTTCATTTTCTTTGGCAGTTTCATTTGAATTTATACGGAATGGATTATTATCATATCGAGACAAATGGTCAATTTTTTCTTCTGAATATTTTGATTGAATATCTGATGAATTCGAGAAAAAATCATTATTAGAAAATTGATTATTTACTTCTGATAAGTTTTCTTCTCTGTCAAAAAAACCGGCAAAATCGGGCTCTGGCTGCTCTGTAAACTGTGTATTGTCTCTAAAGTTGTTCAATAGAGTTGATTCAATTCCAGCGTTATCATTTTCATCTTCTTTATATATTGCAGAATGCCCTGGAAAGAGGATATCGCTGTATTTTTCTGAAGAAGTCTCTTGATCCTGGAAGAGATCCGCCTCGTCAAATTTCCTTATGTTGTCGTCGTTATGAGAAGAATTATCAATATCGATGAGTAAATCATCGTATTTTACAGTGCTCGAGTGGCCGAGCGTAAACTGATCATTTGAATCAACGTCAACAACCTTAATTTCAGGTAGATTTCGCGATTCAAAATACGAATTAAAGCTATCGTCTACTCTTTCGTCGTCATCGACACTATAATTACGAACATAGACATCGCCAAACAACACATTTTTAGATGTTGAAAGATTTTTTTCCAACTCCTTATCCAAATCTAAAAGAATTTTACTATTTTCTGCATCTCCTTCCCTAGGTTCCTCTTGAAAATCGGAATCTGAGTTGCTCGTTCTCTTATAAACATAATCCTCAAGATTTTCGGTCAAGTCATCATTCAAGATTTTCGGTTTGTAATCAAAGAATGTTGTTTTCTCCATATTTGACTCTAAAAGTAATTGTAAATATACTCTAGTTATTACTCGAAAAACAAGGATTAGCTTTTAAAAAAATCATACCTCTCAAATTGATAAAACTATACAAGCCATTTTGAACGCGGATCGTGCAATTGCAAAAACGTATCGACTCGATGCTAATATCGATTTTTCAACAGCTGCTTGAAAACGAAAGAATTCACGTAGTTGATTATTCAATTAATACATATATTTTTTAAATTGCAGTCTATACCGAATATGTTAATTTGTTTCTTTAAACAGTAGAAAAAAACTTAATATTCCTTATCAAACATATTTGATTTATTCTAAAGAAGAGAAAGTGTTTAAGAGGAAAATAAAGGGAAAAAAAGCAATTTTAATGATATACAGTTAGGATATAGAAATCAGGTTTTTCTTTTAAAAATCAATCATAACGTTCCCTTTAAAACCAAAAAAAAATAGATATTCTACTTTATTCTAAAAAGAAAAATATTAAAAAAAAAAGAATTACAGTGTTTTTTTTTTATATTTTTATTTAATCAATAATTTTTCAATTCTAAAAACAAACTTTTTACTTTAAAAACAATTATGAATTGTTGTATATTATCGCTTTGGCATTAAAATATGTTTTAATATATATTTTACATATACAGTATATACACTATATATATATATATTAATATATGCATGTAAAAATATGAATAGTAAGTAATTAAGTAGCTATTTTATACACAATATATATATATATATATATAGTTACATATATTTAATTGTCTTCAATAAGAAAATTAACGAAAACAAAGGTATTTATTAGATAATTTATCCATAAGAATTTTTTTGAGCCATATAATTTATTATTACGATTGTTTCCTTACATAAATCTCTTAAGATAACAAATATATTATATTTATTCAATGTAAATATTAGAGGGGATTTGATTTCGAAAAGGAAAACATATACTTTTTAATACTACATACATTAGAAAAACTTGTACTAATTACTTTATTTTTTTTCAGTACATTCACTTAGATTTTCTTGATGATTAAGAGGAAAAAATATGTTTTTTTTCCATCTTGACATACGCAATATCTATTTATAAAATAGACTCATTTAAGACAACGTGTTCAAGTTTTTTATTTTAAAATTCAAGAAAAATCAGATAAAGAGAGTGAGTTAAAAAGTACAGTTTCGAACTAAGTAATTGTGGAAAAACTAACTGGTAACTGTTATTAATTAGTAATGTTTTATAATAAGAAATCTATCGTATTCTTTGAAAATACTAAAACCAATCATTGATTCTAGAATTATTCATATACGGTATTGACTATTAGATCATTATTTACAAGAAATTGTATCTTTTCAACGCCTCGTCCTAATAGTTTATCTTTTAATTGAAAATAAATTAAACTTCATGTTTGTTGATGACTAGACTATAATGTCTCACAATAGTCCTTAAAAAGAAATAAAACAAAAATGCAAAGAGCGTTGAAGAAGGCCTTACGCTATATTTAGGTTTAAGTAGTGGTCACTCTTGAGCAGATGTCTTAAGATGTGATAAAAATCTTAAATAAAATGTAACAAAGTATTAGGCGTGAAATTAATTAATCAATATATTGCTACTTAACATAGTGTAAACAATACATATAGTATAGAGAATTTGCAAAATTTTACTTATATACTGTATATATACTGTATAAATTTATATATAAATATATATATATATATATATATATAGTTACAAATGTTACGCATCAATAGAGTAATACAACTGCACTTTTATATTTATTATTAATTTATAAACAGAGAGAAATAAGAAATAATCAAAATAATTTAAACATAAAACTATTAGAATCTTGCTGTATATATTATATATATTTTGTTTTATAAATACACTAAATCTGCCACTAGAAGTACGTGAATACACATAAAAAAAATGAAAGCATTGTTATGATTTTTTCCTTGGTTTTTCAACTTTTTTTTGTTTTTCCTCTTTTACCACTAAATGGAGAGATGATAAACATTTGATTATAGAATACTCGTATAATAAGATAATAGATTTAATATTAATATTTCACAATTTACACAAAATTAATATCAGAGTAGGATAAATAATTTACAACAAATTGACATCTGTACATTTTTCTGCAGAGTGAAGCAGCCACAAATTTTTGAGCAGGTAAAAGATATTACGATTTCAGATGGGAAACATTAATTAATATTCAGTTTTTATTGCTTAAAATAAAGAGTTTTTTTGTCTAAATACCAGCAGTAGCAGTAGAATATAACCGCAAATTTTTATCTTCCACCAACAAAAAAGCTCATCTGTTGTTTAAATATAAAAAATATTAGTATATATAGATACATACAGATAAACTAGAAATCTTTATAGTTTATTTAAAAGTATAACTAAGAAATTATATCTTTTGAAATTGATTAATTCACTTACTACACTCTCGCTTAATCCCTGAAAGCTGGAACGTCTAGCCTGATTAGGAATAGCATCTAAAAGCCGACCCCTGCTGTCTCTTCTTCCCGGTTCCTGTTATACATAGAAATCTTATAGTTATTAATCTTTAACTTTTAATAAGTGAGCTTTCTCTTTGTGAAAGGACAATAAATAAGATCAGAATAGCCTTATTCAATGCTCAAGTGCATACAAGATAATAGTGCCGAGCCGAAAATCATTAAAGCACCACAGAAACGAGTATATATATATATAAATATATATAATACATATACATACATACATATATATATATTTATTTATTTATTATTAATATTAATAATGTATAATTTGATCAAAAAAATTTTCTAGTGTGAAAATTTTTCAGTCCCCTTACCGACATTCTTTTGCCTCTAATATGACTTGCCTCTTTTGGCTAGAAAGAAATTGAAAAAAAAGAAAGAAAAAAGATTGGAATAGGAAAAATAAAAAAAGCGGACAGGAAATAAAGATGTAAAAAAAAGCCTGTCATCTAGCTTGGTAATTCAAATCTAGATGGCGGCACACAACAATACGTTGACTTTACCATTATGTTAGTACATGCCTTCTGCAGGCAGAATAGAGAAAATAACAAACATTTTTATCTTAATATTTTTGCAGTACTATATTATATATATATATTTTTTACATTAACATGGATTTTAATGTATTTAAAATATATACAAAGCTGTAAATAAATAATAACTTACAGGAACGACGATTGGACCCATACTTTGAGTACTAGCCCTTCGGTGACCGCCAAATGGAAGATCACCCTCGAAATCTTGGCAAGAAGGTTCCGATACCAAAATGCTGGGATTTGCTGCGTGATGACTTTTACTACCTCTTCTACATATTCTATCGAGGACTGCTTGTTCCTCCTGTTGCATAGAATTCGATTAAGGGGCCTCTCACTAATTTTTAGCATATTTTAAACTTACGGAACCAAGCCCTTGAAAACTGGAATGCCTTCTGTAGGCTCGGTTAGAAGCTGAAAGGTTCTCTTGAGATGCTCTTTGCATCTGAAGTTCTGGGGTACTCGGAGCTGTATAATTCAAATAATTATTATTGAATAAACGAACGCATATTTAGCAGGAGGAAGTAAAATAAACCAAAACAATTGGATAACGGAGTTGATACTCGAAAAAAGACTCTTTTTTCCTCTCAAAACACATAATTTAGGTTTTATAACAACAGAAGAGAATGCAAAAACAAAAGCAGCTGTAGACGTCATTCTCCTTAACAAATTTTCTATTATTCGCAAAAAATAACAAAAGATCTTGATGCAAAATTGCAGGCGCCTCTCCAGGTGAACCGAATAACAAGGCTAATGAGTTACTCTATCACGTGAATACATATTATCCAATCTTAGTATTTTGATTTATAAAAGAAATTCAAAATATTCAATAAGAGAAAAAGAAAATCTATTATATAATAAATAGCTATACTGTATAATTTCTATAGATGTATAGATATTAAAAAAAAGACAGGATAGAAAATATTAATGAAACATAGAAAAGTTTTAGAGGAGAAAAGAAGAAAACAAAACTATTTTCAACTATTTCAACTACTTGAAGAAAAGCGAAAGAATTTCTAATAAATAAAGATACAAAGTAATTATCTATAAAAATATACTAATGTACTTTATATACTATATATATATATATATAAACAGTATATATAGTATATATTTTTATATCTAACTATGTACATAAGCTGTGTATATAAATGGTATATGTACTGTATGCCTTTTTGAGTCTATACATCATTAAAGTGGGGTTTAGTATTAATTTAAATAGTATAATGTGAAAAAAAGTAATGATATTTTATTAAGTGATGAAATATTTAAATGAATGGTAAAGATAGCTTCTCGTTACATGTAAAAAACACCTGAAATTAGCAAATTAGAAAAAGCTCTATCTATTACCCGTATATACCTGAATACAATAGTCAGCAAAAATAACAGACTTCGTACTCTTTTCCTTTTTTCTCTTCAGAACTTAAGTGTTAAGGTAATGAAAAAATAGTTCTTAAGTAAGGTTATAACCTTTTTATCATTGAATAAATAAAGTACTCTCTTATTGATTATAGTATAAAAATATTGAGTATTAGCTAAATTATCCTATTAGGTCTGTTTTGCTTTCTTTCCTTTAGTTTTATTCTCAATCTTCTTCTCTACTGCCAGCATTTTTGCATTCGACAAAGAAAAAAACATTTTGTTCCCTTAAGTTAAGAGCGGGTATTGATAAACCATGATTAAAAAATACGATATAGACGTTACAATCAACATGTTACAAACTGTTCATTAATGTGCCAAAATCATATGTGCAACATATGCGAATACATGCACGGAAAAAGACCGTATTTCCGTCTTACATAGGATCAATAAGAGTATATATTTTTAGAATAATACTGTTTGCTTTTTCCTTACACTGCATAAGAAATGAGGAAACTGAAAGAAAAAACATGCTCTTTCTCACCAGTATAGTATACATATGTATGACCATGAAAGCCAGCCACAGCACTCAAAAATTGTCTGCTAGCGCTGTTATTACTGGCTACATAGCTTCTTCCTGTTGCATTTTTATATTTTCTCAAAGTCATTTTGAAAATAAGTAAGAAAAAATCGGCGAGAAAAATGCAGTTTTATAAAAAAGCTTTTCTTAAAAATTTGGTTGTTTATATAAATATAAAAACGGGATATTTTTATAGTTCATCTTTTGCAAAAACAGAACACCAATAAATTATCCTCATAACTTTCTCTTTATAACAAAATATCTAAATTTTTAAATGAAAGATTTCAAAAAGTAACCAATATATTTTCACCAAAAAGAAATACTTCCTCTTTCTGTTTTCCATTCATTTCTTTGGTGTGTGTGTGTGCGTTTTTTAATATTGTTGTTACTATTGTTCTTTTAGGTTAGAAAAAATACGAAAAAATGTGAAAATTGATTGAAAAATATTTCATATTTTCACCTTTCTCCTTTTTAGATAAAACATTTTATAAAAAGTGAAATTTCTCTGAAAGTTTTCTTCTAATTTCTTTTCTTTTTTTCTTATACATAAATACATAAAAATAGTTGGTATAAACTTTCATTTTTACTGTATATAGCGTGTTTTCAAGGAAGAAAAACAATAAATATGTTGGTGTCTCTATTTTAACTGGGACGAACTATACAGGCGTCTTGAATGATTCAAAATTCTTTTAACAGAACCGATTTTTGTTGGATTTTTTTTTGTTTTGAAAAAGTAAAAAATCTTTCGTTCAAAACGCCATAACCAAAAAAAAAAATAAAAAGTAAAAAAAGTACAAAGGTAGACAAAATTCGAACCTCCTCCATATCGATTTATTATGCTCGACCTCCGATAATACTGACTGGCCGCCATAACTGTTTGCCATACAATGATATTTCATTATATTTTATTAAATTGGCTGGCTGCCATGATTTTTTTAGTGTATAAAAAGCTCTATAATGGAGAGTTGTTTGTTGACTGCGTGACTGTGAGTGTATGCATTATAGAAAAGAGACTTAGTCATGATAGCAGAAAATAAGTATAGCAAAATAAAAGGTTAATGACTAGCTAATTAGAAGTCTTTTATCACATAGTAGTAATATTCCATTATTTAACTTTGTAGTATTTAACCTTTCTCTTACATGTTAATGTATCAATAATAGTTTTTATCTCTCTATAAATGAAATTAATAAATAAACGCCTATTTGTATCCTCAATCAAAAGTACAAAATGAATTAAAAGCGTTTTGTGGCGTTCTGTTCCCTTTTGCGGTGCTGGAACATCGTACCTTTGTAATAGTTAAATGCCTTTCTACACTACTCATTGAATGAGAGAAAAAGAACATAAAAGAATGTGCAAAGTGAATACTTTTTTTGCAGTTAAATTTAATAAAATATAATTTAGTGAATGAATTTACTATCGTGAATAATAATTGGAAAAAAAAACACCGCATGTTTTTATTGCAATCAAGCGGGGTTTTCTTTTTTAATTTATCTGTGAATTGTATCTAAAGATTGCTCTTTTGTTTGTTTGCTTGTTTGTTTTTTTGTTGTTGTTTTTTTAAAGAAAAAGATGCAGACTGTTGAAAAAACTTAAAAAGTTAGTTCTATTCAACTAAATGAAGCAAATAAATAATATGTGAAATTGTAGTAACCATGTGATAAAAAAATGAAGAAATGGTACATTACTTCCGTGTTCTCTCGAAAAAGTTAAATATTTTTTAAGAAATGAAATAGAGGTGCAGTATATTTTAAGAAATCAACAGCAAATGTATAATTGAAGCATCGAGAATCACTGAAGCAATGAACCACAGAGAAAATATGCAGAGATCATGCGGGATGCACTTGAATCAGACTATGGATGGGGGCATTTTTTTTCCTTTTCTATGCCACGATTGTTAGAGTTTTATTACATCTCTTCTTCAAAATATGAAGAATAGTCTGATTCTAGATGCTATTCCTAATATCACAATACGCTACTGTTTTACCGTAATTGTTTGTGTTAACTCTGAAAAAATATTCAAAATAGATGGATTTTTGTTTTACAAAATATGTTATATGTTTATAATTAATAGATGACTGTAAATGTATAATTTTTGTAGTATTAACTGCATAATTAATTAAGCAATTATATATATAAATAAATTATTCTCTAATTAATCGAAATATACATACTACTACGATATTTTGGCATATATGCTTCCTCCACAGACAGTAAATTCTGCCGTCCAGAATAATCCGAATCTCTTCTAGGTGACTCCGAATTATGATGATTTCTCATATCAATTGATTTTCGTCTGTATTTAGTAAAGGGTCATCTTTGAGTACATAGATCAATTAAGATGAAATAGTTTATCCCCTCTTGCAAATATAAACATCTTAATTGTCATTTTTTGCCTGCATCAACTATATAAAAGACTTGGAGACTACACTAGAATTAACTTAATTGATTGAAAATATATTATTAACTTTTTTCAATGACAAAAATATTTTTTACTTTGATCTACATTTTATTTCCATTTTAAGCCTCTCCTCTATTGGACTTGATTACAAGTATACTTAAAAGAGAGCTTTCATAGTGTTTAAGTAAATTGAAAAGGATTACAAGCTTAAGAATGATAGGTTTGGATTTCCTCGAAACCAAATTAATTTTTTTTTATTAAAAGTTTAAAACCCTCTTCTTTCTTCCTTTCTTCTCAATTAAACATAGAAAGAGTTTTTATCTACACTCTTTAGAATTGAGTAGCTATTTGTTTTTTAGGGGAAATGATTGTTATTGTAATTTAAGGGTCATTTAATTTGTGTTGAATAAGTGTTATTTTTAAATTTAAGAGAAAACTAATATATAAAAAGTGTTTCAATTGTCATCGACAATTTCCATAAAATCATATATTTCAAATAGGTTCCGATCGTTTGATGAAAAAAATCAGTTTACCTAACACCGGATGAAGCTGTAGCAACTTCAGAGCTTTGCAATCGCATTTTACTCTTCCTTTGAAAGTGGATGACGTCAAGCATCTCCGTTAGAACATCCATCACTGTCTCAAATTGTTCGACGCTAAGCGTCGGATTGACGGAATGGGGAATGATGGACGGCATGACTTTAGTCGCTAATAAGTTTGCAGTAAGACCAAATTTCTTATCTGTGAGCATGTGCTTGTAAACATCTGTAAGAAAGCACTTAGTTGTTAAATATTTTAAAGGTATAAAGCGGAAGAAATTGCGCCTAATTACAACACTTGCACCTTACGGGTTGACATTTGTAGAAAAAGTGGTTAAACATTTATATCGTCTTATGAAGCTTATTAGCGTTCATATTTGATGTGTCTCTCGTATAATTAATAATTAAATTACACCATAAATAGTCTAGGTGACCAATATTTACACAAGGGACATGTAGCACTTTGTTACAGTAATCAATAATGAATAGACTTTTTAATTCAAATATTGACCATAGTTGAATGTTAATTATGTTTGTTTATAGAAAAATGGGTTTTGATTTAATTAGCTAGAAACTATATTTCCTTTGCAGATCCAAATATTCTATTATTGTTAATAAGACAATGAATATTTAATATACATTCTTTAAATAGTAAACTTTATCATCTTAATTAGTGTTTAACACTGTATTACTCTTTAAAAGATTAATTTAAATAAATTACTGCAGCTTACAAATTTATTATACATAAGATAGAATAATCACTTAATTACTATGTATTTATCCAATAAAGTCATTCTATAACAAGAACTTTAGTTTTATTGAAAAAAGAAAGAGTTTCAAGTAGCAAGTTATTTTGTCATTTATTAAAAGACACTGCTCTCTGTCTATCCGTTTACTTCTCACTCACTTTCTCTCTCTATATATATATCTCTATATATAAATCTCTCGATCTTTTTTTACTCTTCTTAATATAAGACAGCTTTCGAGAATGTTATTTAAGTTAACTTCCTCTCTATACCTTTTATATATTCCATGTCCGTCTGTCTTTTTTTTGTCGTTTCTTAAAATAGCAAGGTCTATAGAACAATTTACTTGTATGATGTAACAATTAATATTAATAAATAAGCTAGTAGAGTCTGTCATCTTTTGGTTGCTTAGTATTTAGTTTTCCAAGAAAGATGCTTTTTTCTTTGGAATGCCGTTTTATTATCATTTATAAGTAGAATCCTACTTGTAAACTAACTACAAATTTCTACCTTAATCAGCTTAAAGTGTTAAAATCGGTAAGTTAAGATCATAGAACATCTTAACTTGCTATTTTTTGCACTTTGATTATGTTTAAGTTTAATAACCTCTTGGATATGGACAATATTAAGTGGATGTGAATATATATATATATAGTATATATATATAGTATACTGTATATACTGTATATGTTATGCAACTTATTAAAAAGAAAGCATATAAACTTACTGATGACACAAACGATGATTTCTGTGTCTTGTTCTTTTATATCGATCAGAAACGGCAAAACTTCGTCTAATATTAACGTTTTATCTAAAGTATCCACCAATTTTGAGAGACACGCCAACGCATTTACCTTGACCCTAACGTTAGTAGATTTTTGAAAAAGGGTTTTTGCCTTTGGCAATAAAATTTTTCGTATTGTTTGATTATCCGTATATTGCTTTATGAATGCAAAAACGTTTATAGCAGCCTCTTGTCCTTGGAGATTATTTGATTCTAAAGTATTGAAAACCATAGGAAGTATAACGTTTTTAATTTCTTCCTCGTTTGATCTGGCTAGGAGAACCTCTAGTTTTTCAAGAATGTAAATTGTGGCAGGAATTGGGCGAGGTTTGGAGATAATCGAATGGATGAGTGGAGCTATATAACACTTGTAGTCATCCTCCGACGAGTGATGCATAAAGGATATTAGAACGGACAGGACATGAGTTATGTATTCGGAAGTTTTTAAATGGTCTTCTAGCACCGGTAGTATTGTCAGTGTTAATATTTTCTGAAACAGAGAATTGAGATAAATACAAAATATAAATATAAAATATATAACATTTATTGAACTAGTGAAATTCTTCTAATTGCTTTGCTGTACAAATCTAAAAAAGTAAGCTTAATCGATATTGGAAAATATAAAATATCCATATCAGCCTTTAATTAGAAGTTAGTCACGCTTTCCTACAATTAAATGAGTTTGTAGTTGGAAGTGGTCGATATTTTATAGCATTTTCTTGAAAAAAGAAAGTTTATAGAGTAAATTGAAAGCGACATCAATCCTACTAAAGTAACAGTTAATGAAAATTTTTTTTTCTCATTTTTCTTAGCATCCCGCACAGTTGATATTATCCAACATAATCAAATGTTAAATTATTTATTATACAGCGCAATCTTTATTCTTTTTTTCCCCTGTATTTATTTATTTTTTTTCCCAGTTCCCTTTCTATTTTCATCGTACTGTATAAAGATTGTTGATTTAAGGGAAAAAACTGGAAAGTATTGCTATTAATCCTTCCCTCAATTTCATCGACACTAGTCGACTTAAACGGCTCTAGGGACGCAATATATATATAAAATAAACTGTAATTTTCTTATTTATTTTGTAAGAGAGAAGCTTAAAAATCGAAAGATTGTACTGGCTCATTAAGGACTTTTGGAGAGGAATATTAAAAGCAAATATACAAAAATAGTCTTGGAGGCATATTCCTACTTAATAGTTCCTTTTTTTAAGTGCACAACCTTTAAAGTGTAGATTTCAAAAGACGGCTCAAGGTTTTCTGGTTCAGTACGGTCATCAATAAATTGTTGACATCACGCACATATCACATGTTTTAAAAAACGTCTAAAAAGACTTTAATATTAATGACTGAGAATTGTTTACTCTAATGACAAACTAAAAGAATAAGGTAAATGTAAAGTAAAAGTCGTGCAAATATATTTTGTTTACTGCGTCCATTTTGAGTGCAGCAATGTGTAAAAAGTTTTTACTCTCTACATATTAGTATTATAATGGTATTGCATCTGAAAAATTTGCAGTTACTCTTATATTACACTTTATAATATATTTTTCATTAAATTGATATTGTTTATAAATCCCTTCCTCTCCTTCTTCCTATTTGCTCTCTCTTTCTCTCTCCCTCTGTCTTTATTTCTTTATCTATTAACTTTACTTCCAACTACTATTTTAATCATATAAAGGAAAACTTACTTTCGGAATTGTATGAATTATTTGTGACAATTTATTAAAGTATTCATATTTCAAGTTCAAGTCATTTCCTTCTAAATGGTCGATATTCTGTACGCATCTCGCCACAGGATCATCAAAGAACTTGAGCTGCAATAGATAGAAATGTCTCTAATTAAAACAATTAATAAGATTTGAAGAAAAAAAACTGTCTATTATAGATGCAGTCTTTATTCAGTGTACATTTCTTTTTTTAAAAAAATGAAAGCTAGTAAAGATCAAGATAGAAAAGACACTAGATACTTGTACCAGAAAAGATAAAAGGGAAAAGATAAATAACTGAAATAATAGTATAGATGAAGGTTACAGAGTTATTTATATTAATAATAACATAGAAAAAAAACAATCTAGCCTATTTTTAACTAAAGTAAGTACTTAATGAATAGTAAAGAAAATTACGGACAGAAATCACGCTATGAAAGCTTTGGCTGTGGATAAAAAGTAATGTTCTAGTCTAAACGGTTTTCTGTGTGTATAGGTGAAGCCCTATAGGTTGACAACGAAATGAGTCAATTCTGAGAAGGAGAGAAACTTTTGAAGAATTTCATCTCATTTCAAACTTAAAATGAAGAAAAATTAAATTATATTCATTCTTTTCTTTTCGTTTTTCCTCGTAAAACTACTTTTATTTCCTTTGTTTCTCTTTTTAACTATAACATAACAAGATAAAAAGGAAACTTGGACAAAAAAAGACGCGTGTATAATGTTATTTTTCCTTAAAGACATATAGAATCGTAATAAAAAGAGAATTATAAAATAATAAATTACTTGTTAAGAAAATTAAGAGCATTTCTCAAGAAATAGAAACTATTCCTAGTAATATCGTATAACGAGTATTGCGTATTCCAAATGCTGGCTTTATTTTAGGAATTACTCTGAACTAAATAAAAGCCATCTTTAAAAATTTTAATGACTTAAAATACTGAATATATATTTTATTACATATAAGCAATGATTAAACCAAGTAAGACTGCAATTTTACTCTTAAAGAAGACTAACTCGTTAGCACAAAAAGAGCACACACGCTCTCTAGAATAGATAATTTAACGACATTTGTTGCTCCTGCAACGTCTATGTAGTCTCCTTGTCACATTATTTATTTTTTATCTAATAACATTAATCCTTACCAGATGAGAACTGAGCAAGGTGAACATTTGAGCTGTAGGCCTATATCGAACGTCTTTGTTGATCATTTTCTCCACGGGTTCTACTAGCGCTAAGGGCATTTTATGCGCTACTTCACCAAATTGATGGGTCAGCTATTTTAAGGAGTAATATTAGAGATTCATTAGTCATTTATAAATGTAAAGACAAATTATTGTCTAATTAGATAATTAAAAAGACAAAATAAACCTAAGATTAATTAAGTAACAGTGACACTGAATGTAGACAACTCTTATTTCCAAAACTGCATTGAACTTGCATAATAAAACTTTATTCATTATGGATCTAAACTGGTTGTTATACTAATAGACATTCGATTTCATGTTATATACAAAAGATACTTTTTAAATATCAACTTAAGGGTCATTATAATTTGTTCTAAAGGTAGATAACTATAGTTCTGTTCATGATTTTAATACATCCAATTATGAAACAGGCTTACAAATTAGCACGCAAACTTGACTAATTAGGTTTCCGATAAATAGTATAGAAAAAAAATACAACAGGTAGCTATAGATTAAGGATAAAAATTTTCGTCTAGTACTTAAACCAAGAGCAATAATATATCATGATGGTTCGCTTTTGATCTAAAAGCAATTTCGTACTCTATAACTTCCTTCAACAGATGATTAGGAACGAAACTAATGTATCCCAGGGGGATTCTCCATTTATGGTGATACAGCGTCAAGTCTTAGCGGTACTACTAAGACACACGAGTCACAACAATTCTTCAAGTAATAATTTAATAGACGAAGGGATTCTATAGACTGAAAGTTATTATTATTAAAACCTACGAAGCCTTAAATATACCAGTCAATTATGTACATGAATAGTTCATTGATTAGATAACTCTTTTCATTTGTATATATATACATACAGTATTTAACAGAAAGAGTA